AATATAGTACGTTTAAATAATTAAATATAGCAATGAAAATATAATAATTTTCGTAATTTTTTATTAAAAATGAAAAGCAAATTATATTTCCGAAGTAATATTACAAAATAACGCGAATTAATTACAAAATAACGCGAAAACATGAAAAAAAAACATAATTTTTGTTTTTCGGTATATTTTGTCTACGTTTGCAATACGGGCAAAATGGGGCAGGTTTTTTCGAAAGAAGAAACATCAAAGAAGACAACGAAAAAGAGTTTAGCTAATTACCTCGTGGAACTTTTTGGAACTAAGTTTCGAAAGTCATTGGAACATTGTAAAATGTCAAATGATAAGATATAAACTATAAGTTTGTCAAGAGTATTAACTAATCCAACAAATTAAAAAATTGTACTACAATTTCAGACTAATTACTCTGATAAAAATGTAACAGTAAGGTAAAATTCCTATATATATATTTCTGAAAAAAATTTTAAAAGTTACATTTAAAAAATTTTTTTCAACATATTTTTCATTACATTGTACTCTCGTCGGTCCAAAAAGTAAATTAAAATGTTTGGAGTGATTATGAATACTTAATTTGGGTGAGATTAAAACTGCCCTACTAATATTTTAGTTGAAATTTAATTTTTGACTTTTGGCCAAAGACATACCCTCCAACTGCTACGGAATTTCCGTAGTTGCAGAAATCTTCTTTTCAGACGGTAGTAAAATTAATGTCTTAATATTTAAAAAAAAATTAATTTTAGCGTAACTTGTCCACTATTACTTATAAAAGTGCAGGCCATATGGCTAGATTCTTAAGTTCTGATAAAAGTTTTATGAGAGATCCATTTGCTTTCTACTTTGGTTCGCTACCACTAGAAAAAATTATTTTCAAAATCCTCATAAGTTGGAGGGTATGCAAAGATCATGGTCTTCTGGCCCACAGTGCATTGTTTTCTATCCAACAGACATTGCTTTTATTTAAATTAATTTTTTTGAAATATTAGGCTAAAAAACACATTTACAAATTAATAAAGTTATATATCTTGAGACTTTAATAATATCAATAATAAATTATTAAAAAACTAAAGAAAATAGAAAATTAATTCGTTTAAAGGCAAAATTTTCAATAATTTAAAAAATCCTAACCGCTCTTGTTACAAGTAGTAATGTCATTTTCGACCAATACTTAGAAATTAAATAGCTCATGACGGGAAATATTTGGACAGGAAGAAACTAAGAAGAAAACATATGCAGGTATACTCGAACTGGTTTCCATCTCGCCTTCCTTACAAGTGATTCGGAAGATTTGGATGTTATTTTTTGTTTTCTTATTTTAAATATCTATTCCTAATATGTACGCTTTTTTTACTTCAGTTTTGTCTAAAGGGCGTACAATACGAAATAACTACGATAAATCTTTACGATGAGCTCTTTACGATCAACAAAGACTGTTTTACGATGAATCTTTAAGAAATATTTCGACAGAAATAGACGGAAAAATTTGCTTTTAGCATTACTTACCTAAATTAAGACCAATGCAAGAAAAAATCAGAGAAAAAAAAAAGGATAACTCAAGTTTAAAAAAACAAATAAAGTTAACTTTCTCTAAAAACACAAACAAGATATTAAATCTAATAAACTGATGAAATAATTACTTTCATGAACACCATTCAGAATAAATAGATAAAAATGAATCTATATCTTTTTAGATACTCACAAAAAAAAGGAATATTCATTTAGTCATCATCATGAAATAAAAGAAAAAGAATAAACGACTGTAGAAAAAAAAACAACTATTGTCCTTTTTTGTTGATTTAGCATAATATTATTAACGTCAAGATGTGGATTTTTTTTCTATTGAAATAGTACAAAAGCATAGTTTACGAGTAATTAAATAATTAAATAAAAAAAAGGAGTTGAAATGAATAAAAATAAAATTGTTCGACTTAATTTTTTCTTCCTGTTTTTCTGGCATTTTCCGAATTCTGTACTTCCTATTTTTATTTTTCGCCTCTCATATTCTGCTAAAACAACAGCTTTATCTGTCCAACTAAAACCACTTGGGGAAAACAATGCTGCTAGTTAAAAGCCTTAAGACACTAATTATGAGTGTTATTAGATTTTGAACACAAATGAAATTTAAATGAAAGCATCAACAATGAATTGTAATTACTCTAATCATCTTAAAACAGAAGTGGGGGGAAAATCTGAATTGAAAAAAATTAGACTATTACAAAAATTTGATAACATTTGTTGGCAGCCATACATTAATCTTTCATTTTCTATACTTTTTTATTATTTGATGCCAATAATAGAAATTAATATATTATAAGTAATGTATTAATTACATCAAAAACCCTCTTACTGTTTGATAGCGGCATTTACACTAATCATTTCTTAATTAAAATATAAATATTAAAAAATTTATAAAAATTAAAATATAAGTAATGTAATATAAAGTATAATTAGGTATATCATAAATAACTTTGAATCATAATTAGCTTTTAATTTTTAAATTCACTTTGGAATTGAAAAGAGATTTTTAACATAAGAAATTTATGTTAAAAACTATAAGGAAAGGTCATGTACATTTTGAGGATTGAGAATTGCTGGACAACCCATGAGCGAAAATGTTATAGGACACAGCTTAGAGCTATCTCATGGAGAATTGGTTTGTCAAGCGTATTTGAACGGAATATTTTGTAAATGATTATTATTTTCATAATTGGTTCAATATATTGTTGTTAGAAATATATTTTCTTTTGAACATGCAATTTCTCTTTCACAGACATTTTATTTGAGATAATTTAATAAATGCAAACGAAAGAGTGAATAAATAATGACTTATAGGTTGGAACTAAATATAACCAGAGGTTTCAAAATTCATCACTAGTTTTGAAAAGTTCTAACTCCCGGAACCCTTTTAACTCTCCCTCGGAACCCTACGATTCGCGGGATATCATTTGGAAACCGCTGGTCTAGGAGATCGCAGTAGCCGAAGGTGGCAAATCGAGGCAAAATATATTCCTATGCAGAATTCACATTTAGAGAGGATTTTAAGTAATTTATTATGAACAGTTCCTCCGCTCCAACTCTTGGGGGTCATATGGCAGCTATTAGATAATTTCTTATTGAATAATCAACAAAATACGAGGATAAAGGATTAACTCTGAGGGGGAAAAAATTCTTAATTCTTTTTTAATTATATTGTTTGAGGCAAATTTTATTTGAGGCGGACTTGATTTTTTGTTTCAAATAAATCTTAGTTATTTACCTAAATTATTTCAGAGCATGTTTTAATTTTATAAAAAATGAATGGTAAAGAATTTAAAAAAAGTACTTTTGGTTTAGTTTTAAAAATAAATTAAAAGGTATTTAGTTCAAATACAGGTTAAATAAAGTCATTTTTTCATTCAATTCATTAAAGCATACTTTTATTATTTTTTTTAGTACAGTTTTATTTATTTGAGGAAGATTAAATTCTGAAATGTTGCGTTGTGGCTCCTTAATCTAAATATAGGTTAAATGAATTGTTTCGCGTCAAGAAAAACACGTAAAATAATTTTCTTGGTTGCATAGTTTTAATTATTTGAAGAATATTCATTTCAGAATTCTGCGTTGTAGCTCCTTTATCTAAACATTAGGTTAAATTAATGTTTGACGACAAAAAACGCGTTAAATAATAAATAATTTTCTCGGTTTTATAGTTTTAATTATTTGAGGATTCAATTTGAAAATTTTGTGCTGCTGTTCCTAAAATATAATAATAATAACAATAATAATAATAATAAAAATAATAATAATAATAATAATATATAGTTCTCTTAGTTTTAAACTCTTAAATCAAAAGCGTAATAATAGCAGTACAGTAAAATACCTTTAAATTGGGTATAATATGAAAAAAGCACAACTACTTCCACTTACTAGGAATAACATTTTCCTTTTAGTTTAATTAATAAACTGAGTTTTAAATATGTTTACTAAATTCATAAACTTCGGTAAAACAACANATATGATAAAAAGAAAAAACGAAATTAAGAAAAGTAATCGACTCACTATATTGTATTGATATACTTTGCAGTGGTTGTATTGATACAATATTAGAAAGCACTCCTTTTTGCGGATATAATCGTGTAAGCTGATGAAGAGATTATATCCTTTCATTTTTTTTGTTTTCTGGCTTTTCAAAGAACTTAAAAAAAATTTTTATAAATAATTTTTAAAAATATTTTATTTTCATAATTTTTCTTCTTCTCTTTTCATTAATGTTTATTTTCCATATTTTCTTTCTCTCTCTCTCTCTCTCTCTCTCTCTCTCTCTCTCTCTCTCTGTATATATGCATTTATAAATATATATATGTTGCAGTTACATAAAGTATTTTATTTTGAATGATTTGCTATTCCACTCAATTTTTTAAACATAAATAATGCTATTGGATTCAATTTAATTTAAATGGTTTTTCGGTGCGAAGTTTACAGATTACTCTGTCTCTCTCTCTCTAATGATTAGTTCGAAAATAAAATAGACTTTTCTGCAAAAATTTTCATCGAATACATTCGTTAAAACAAAATCAATAAAAATAACTGTTTCTCAATAATGAAGACGGAAAGTAGAAACTCAATCACAACTATTTCCTCCAACATTTAATGAGTTTCCATTATCACTTCGTTGCATTTAAATTCCTCTTCTTCCTCCTTTACAGCATTCGTCTCACTTTTGAATATGCTCAGCGCACAGCACTAAACTTAAAATCATCGTTAAATTAACCGTTTTCTTTTTTTGTTGTTGAAAAAAAACTTTTTTTTAAATTCTTGATAATGAATAAAAACATCTACAGCTGCTTTGTTTTTCTCTTCGTTGCATTAACATGCACGGAGGCAAAAGAGCCACGAATGTACGCGTTCCCACGCAGTAAACACTTCGATAGAGTTAATTGGAAAGATTTTATGGTTAAAGCAAACTGGGCATCAAGTGAGTTGATTAAAATATCCACACCTTATGTAGTTGAAAATTACCCCACTGGAAATGTGAGTGAAGTGTGCACAAAAAGTCTCCTCACTTATGTTGATGGAATAAAAAATTGGAGAAGATGGGCAATACGCAGTAAGTCTCAATTATTTCTCTTTATTTATTTACTAGATCATTTTACAATGTCTTTCAATTTTAAACTGTATTAGCATGCATTTTTAAAAATTATAATAGCCTCTTTCACTCTATGCGTACCAATAATAGGTGTTGTTGGTCGAAATATAAATTTGCTTCGGTTGTATGTTTTGCCTCGCCATATTGCTCGCTGTAACTTAAGCTAGTGCTGAGGGCGTTTTTAGAATCTCTGCTTTCGCCAAGGAAAATACTAGAAACAGATTGAGGACTTTTAACTTGAGACAGAGATTTAATTTTGAACTATATCTTGATGAGAGCCGTGATGGCTCAGGGGATAGAGCGTTCGCCTTCGAATGAGGTGATCCGGGTTCGAGACCCAACGATGGGTGGTCGATAAGAATTCCACATCCGGCTTACACCGACCAGAGTGCTGACGTGAAATATCCTCAATGGTAGACGTATCATGGGTTAGAGTCCCCTTGCCGTCAGGCTAACCGTGGGAGGTTCGCGTGGTCTTCCTCTCCATGTAACGCAAATACGGGTTAGTTCCATCAAAAAGTCCTCCAGGAAAGCAAAATTTCTTCCGATACTTGATCCAGGAGTTCCCTTGTCTTCTGTACTGGACTCAAAATTACAAGGCCATGGAGTTGAACATTAGTAGTCGTAAACCCAAAAATTGGGTCGGCTGTTCAACGACGGTTGTAATATATCTTGATGAAGAGCAGGGATAGCTTGGTTGGTAGGGCCCATGTTCAAGAGGTTGTGGGTTCGTTCTCCTCCTACCGAAGACATCCTGTGTAGTATGGTGACAGATGCACGTTAAATCTGTCGGGTCACAAAGTCCTCCATGTTCCCATACTAAATCAAAACATCTGGGGGTACTTATCCAAGAGTTTCCTTGTCTTCCGGATTAGTTCAAAATTACAACGCTACGGAGTTGAACACTGGTAGTCGTAAGCTCAAAATTGAGTAGCTGTTCAACGATTGTAATAAAAATTCATCTTGGTGAAAAACCGTGAGAATACAAAGCGTTTGCCTTCCAATGAGGTGAACCGGGTTCGAAACCCAACGATGACTGGTCGATGAGTTCCACATTCGGTTTGCACCCATCACAGTGCTGGCTTAAAATATCCTTAATGGTAGATGGATCATGGGTTAGAGTCTTCTTGCCGTCACGTTAACAGTGGGAGGTTTTGTATTTTTTTTCTGACGGTTATAAAATAAAATATATCTTGATTAGAAGCATTGTCTTGACTTTAACATGAAAAAAGTGTGGAATGCTTGTTTATTTTAAAAGAAATCACTATTTGGAGAGGTTAATTACTAACGTGAAAATTGTTAACAATGTTATTCAAAGTTCTTTCACGAAAAAAAGAAGAAAAAAAATCGTTTCATGTGCCGCGCACCTGAAAAAAAGCTTCAATTTTACACTTCATGCACCATTTTGCCGTAATGAATTATCTGAGCATTAGAACGGAAAAATAACTTAAATATTAAAATTTTTAAATTCCAGGAGTTTTTTCCCACATTCTTGCATATTTATAAGCCGCAAAAAAGAATGTTTAAGTCTTAGCATTTTTGTACCGAACTTTCTGATTCATTCATAATTACAGCTGTAATTATAACTAAAATAAAATAAAAAATTGCTGAATTTATATAATGTGATCCATTTTTTAAGTAATGTTTAATTAAAGAGCAGATGTGACATATATGCTAGTTGTTTATTTAAAGGTCAAAGAAAAGATAATGACTGTGGTGCTTGTTTATAGTCTACGAATGATAAATATTTGTGATGTCTGTTTAACGTTAAATACTAAGATGATGACATTTATTTAAAATATATTAGCGTTAGATACCTATGGTGTTTATTTAACGTAAAAGAGTGATAGATATGCGTTGTGTTTATTTGAAGCATAGGTTTGATAGGTATGTCTGTTGTTTATTTAAGGTATAGGTGTAATAGATATACGTTTAATTAAAGCATATGCGGAATAAAAGTCCTTCATGATTTTTTTTAAAATTTAAAGCATATATGATGCTGGTGTTTATTTAAATCATAGAGCTGATAGATATGCCTGGTGATTATTTGAAACATAGTTTTGATAGATAAGCCTATTGTTTAATTAATGCCTTGGTATGATAGTTTTGTGTCGTATTATTTAGTTGAACCATGAATGAGATAGATATCGGTGGTGTTTATAGCGTAGAAGATGATGGTGTTTATTTAATGCAAAAAAAGAGTGTTAGAGTGCCTTGTTACATCAAATTCTTTTCTAATTTAAGCATTTACGCTCTTAAAAGAATCGATTTACTTTACATTATACGTTTGCTTTAAAGCAGTTACTGTTATTTAAGTTACGAAAATATTTAACATTTTATTTAGTTATTTTAGAGAATTAAAATAGCAAAAAAATAGAAAGAAGAAGAATTAAGAAGAAAAAAAGATCCTTTAAAAGAGTGACAAAAATTTAATTAAACTAATCTATTGTGCCCCTGGCATGAACAGAATGTTTTAACAGGTTCTCATAACTTGTTGGAAAAAAATAATAATAAAGTGTAAAAATAAACAAGATGTATTTACTATCTCATTATTTTGAAGAAGTTTTAAGAGGTGTAACGAGAAATTTCATAGGGTTAGGTTATTATCATGACATTTAAGAGATTAAAAAAAAATATTTATAAAAAATTTAAGCATAATTTTGTAGTGTAGTATAATAGAAGCGTGTTTTATATGATTGATTCTTCCATGCTAATCAAAACAATTAACTTAAGTATAATTTTTTTTTCATGGTTGCCATACGAGCACCTAGGAAAAAGACTCTCTGATTTTTTGTTCAGTTCAGTTTTATTAACTTTCCTGATTTTTGTAACTAATTATTTTGTGTTACTCCGTGCTTAATACCAAATCAAGCTACAATTGTTTCCTAAACAGTACGAAGCAAAACATTTTACCATTTAATTGATAATCGAAATTTTGACGAATTTCTATGGACTTGATGACTTAAGAAAAAGAAAATACTGAAACTAAAAATGTAAGGCATATCACTTTCACAATAAACTTTTGCTCTTTTGAATTTCCTCTTTTTACTTCCCCTTAAAAACGTTTTTTTTTTAAATTTATTTCGTTATATTTATTGGGATAGTTTTACTATCAAAATATTGTATGAATAATTTATACATAATTTATAATTTATAACTTATGCATCATACTTTTAAAAACAGGGAATTTCCTCATTGACTTAATGGTTCAGTTTTTTCAAATATTTTAAAGATTATATCAGAAATATGTCATGCATAATGTCATGCATATGTCATATGTCATTAAGAAAAAGATTCATTGCGTATTCTGCAACAACTATAGTTCGTTCACCAGGAGTTGGCATTTGACTCCACCTCCTCGAGCAAAGAACTCATTTCAGCGCTGGAGTAAGAGGAAAAACATCTCATGTCATACACCATTGATTCTCTTCAACTAATGGAAAAATAAATACGGATAGAATTTATTAATGCAGAATTTTTTCAATGTTTAAGGTAGACTTTTCAAATGACAGAATAAAATAAACAAAAATAAATAAAAAAATATGACCGAAACAGTTTTTACGAACAATAGAACTAAAATCAAAGATAACAGATTTTGAATTAATAAGAGCATTCTTTGTTTCTGCAAAAATGCATAATGTGGAGGAAAAAAAATTCCAAATACTAACATAAATCCACATAATCAAATCTCAATTCAATATTTTACATTGAAATGAAGTATAGAAAATCAACTTAATAATAATAAATTACAAAGAATCATTGTTTCGTTTATGCTGAAAATGTAATCGCACTGAAGCAAACAAAACTATAACAGAGACACCAGATAAGAAACTGTAGAGTGTCAACCATTCGCGACTATTGCATCAACTAAACGTTCTCTTTAAGTGTTACTAGGAGGCGCAGGGGTCGTTCGGGGTTGAAGAAACTTTTAGAAAAGCGTCGTGATGGCATCAGAGTGAATTACCCTTAAGTATTATCGTTCATGGTACAGGCTTTCTCATTATCAAAATTCTATCTGTTGCAACATCTCAACTCTAGTAATCCGCTACCAAGATAACTAATCACTTACGTTAAATAACATATTAAGTTTCAACAGCAATAAATGTGTTCTTGTTGCCTTGAAAACAAAAGAATATAAGCAAACATCTTTAGGAAGATGACTTATTTCATATTTTAACGTTTTGATAATATGAAGAGCATTTATTACTGAATGTTTAGGATGTCTTTTTGTGGAAAATATAATCTGTCATTTGTTTTATAAGTACAATGGGCTAAACCTTAATAAAATTAGATATCATGCCTCATTAGCAGCCATGGATTAGAAAATTGAATTTCGACGTAAGAACGGTATTGTGCCTTTCAAATTATTCAATACATCACAAATTTTTTTTATTTATAATATAATATTTGTTTCAATTTTTCTTTCCTTAATTAAAATTTAAATTGCTTTTATTGTTATATGATGGAAGTAACGATGCATAAATGATTGTTAAAAACAGCTCTTTGATTTTTGAAAGTATTTATAGTTTAGGTTCTAAATTCTCTTGTGATTTTTGTAGCGAAATTGAAATAATTTTTCGTCATATTTTGTATTTGACTCATTTAATAAATTGATTTTCTTTAGATATAACCGGAAGTATTGAAATACCATAGCAGACATATTCAATTGTTCTCGTAAAGGGCGTCACCAACATATCAAAAGCAATAGTGTTTACGGAAACGTCTAAATAATTGTTTTCCTTTAGCTCAACCTAATCCATTCGTTCTTTTTTTTTAAAAAACAATCCCTTCCTATTTCGAAACTTAACTGTATTTCTAAAGACATTATTACATAAAGTGCTCACTAATGTCTGAATACACTTTTTTAGAATGTTAAAAGTTATAGACATGAAAGTAGCGTCTAGGTTCAGTGAAATGGCTAAGTTTTGAACCAGATGATGCTGCAAATGGTCTCAATCTGTAGCTCACAGCCACCTTACTAAACTTAGACACCACCATCATATCTATAGCTGTAACTCCTCAGTTATATTAGGTGCTTGCTGATTTCAGTTGGGAAGACAGTATACCATAATCAAAATAATCAATACTTTGGATTTCGTAACTTTTTTCTCTCAATTTTATAGCACACCAATTTCTTATGCTCCTCATTTATAAATAATTACTTTACTCTGCAAACATAATTTTCAGTTTTGAAGTGAAAATGACTGAAATAAATGACTTATATTTTCAGTGTTCGACGTGACGGGTAAGATCCCCAACAGTTTTAAAAGAGGAGCAGGCATTGAATTTGGATCATACGATGATTGTCTTAGAATTGCGGGTCCATCCAACGAGGTACCACCATTCAGTGGACAGTTCTGCATGGTACATCTTCAGACTTCAAGACCATTTTTATTAGAAGAAGACACTCCATTTAAAAGATACGCAACAAATTTGGTACTTCTCTACATGTCATTGATTTAATTAAATATTTAAGGGTTATAATTAAAAATATTCGAGTTATAATTGAAACGCTAAATACTCCGAACGTACAGAGTACTCCTGATCTGTAGTTGTGCTTGCTTAAGAGGTTCAAAGTTATATTTGAAAGTTGCCCCTCTCTTCTTCTTTATGGCACAATTTTAACCAATTGCTTCTTCTGTTCTTTTTCTTTTACAACACCACTTTAACTCAGCGGTGCGCAATTCTTTTTCACTATTAAACTCTAAATGACCGAGTTTCTTTTTGCGGAACCCTGACTTAATGTAAAAAAAAGGTCATCTACAGACGTGAGAGAGCCATGATGGCTCAGGGGATAGAGCGTTCGCCTTACAATGAGGCGGACTGGGTTCGAATCCCAGTCGATACGAATTCCGCATCCGTCTTGCACCGACCACAGTGCAGCATGGAATATCCTCAGTGGTAGACGGATCATGGATTAGAGTCCCCTTACCGTCAGGCTAACCGTGGGATGTTCTCGTGGTCTTCCTCTCCATGTATCGCAAATGAGGGTTAGCTCCATCAAAAAGTCCTCTACAAGGCAAATTTCTCCCAATACTTGATCCAAGAGTTCCCTTGTCTTCTGGATCTGGTTTAAAATTGCAAGGCTACGGAGTTGAACATTAGTATGCGTAAACCCATGAAATTGGGTCGGCTGTTCAACGACGGTTATAAAAATAAAATAGACGTGAGGGCCTGGTTGGTCGGGCACTGGGCCCATGTCCAAGAGTTTGTGGGTTAAATTCCCGACGGCCGTGTAGTAAATAGTGATTGATCCCCGTGTAGTAAATAGTGATTGATGAACGTTAAATCTGTCGAGTTGCAAAGTCCTCCATGTTCCCATAACAAATCAATACCTCTGGGGGTACTGATCCAGGAGTTTCCTTGTATTCTGGATTGGTTCAAAATTGCAAGGCTACGGAGTTGAACATTAGTAGTCGTAAACCTAAAAATTTGGTCAGTTGTTCAACGACGGATATAAAATAAAATAGATGTGTGGGTATAGAGCGTTCGCCTTCCAATGAGGTGAAATGAATTCGAATCTCAGCGATGGCTGGTTGATACGAATTCCGCACCCGGATCACACCAATAACAGTGCTGACGTAAAATTTCGTCATTGGTATACAGTTCATCGGTTAGATTCCTTTTGCCGTCAGCCTAACCGGGGAGATTCGCGTGGTTTTCTTCTCCATGTAACGCAAATGCGGGTTAGTTCTCGTCAAAAAGTCCTCTTCGAAAACTAATTTCTTCCGATAAATGCAGGAGTTCCCTTGTCTTCTACATTGGGTTCAAAATTACAAGGACACGGAGTTGAACATAGTCGTAAACTCAAACTTGAGTCCGCTGTTCAACGATGGTTAGAAAATAAAATAAAATAAACATCTGTAAACATACTAACCGAAGAAAAAGGACTACTCATTATTTTCTAAGTATTTAATGTGCAGAATGAAATATTTTAAATTCTGAACTAATTCTTGATTGTGCCTACGCTGAAAACGAATAAAATAAGTTGAATTCTGATTTTCACTGCTATAAATATCGAGAATAGTCAACTGAGAAACTCAATTCTTAGTTTTGTGTTTGGTCATTATATTTTGAACTGAAAAGTTTCATGTGTAATACTTATGGAATTCTTTATGAATGCATGCTCTTTTCATAATTTATTCAACACATTGTCAGTAAAATAAATTTTTCAAATTTTGCTACTTTTTAAATAAACAATTTTATTTAATCAATTGAAATAGTAAACAAATTATGGATTATTTATTGGATATGAATATAATTATTATTGGTTTATAAATGTGGCTGGTCTTGGAATCCCTGTGATATTTCTACGGGACCTTAGGGATCCGCTTAACACTAATTTCGAACCGATTTTCTAACCTATAACTGCTTTTGTCTCTTTGTTTACAGTACTCTAACATTCCAGGCACTGTATTTTTATTAATTATATTTTTCAGTTCTTTCTTTTGTAATATTATGAGGAAAAAATGAATTTAAAGCGGCGTTTTTCATGGCAGCTCCAAATTTTAAAGGAAGCTTTTTCGCGTGAAAAGCTCTACAGAGAAGTCCTCTACTAAGGCTAGTCTGTGTAATGCTTGATCCAGGAGTTCTTTTGTCTTCTAAGTTGGTTTTAAAAATACAAGAGTATAGAGTTTAAAATTGATGGTTAACTTTAAAAATGGGCCAGCAGTTCAACGCTGCTGCATAAAATAAAATGAAATCACTGCCACCAGATAAAACTTTACAAAAGTACTAATTACTATAAAACCGAAGTACTATCCAGGACAAGTGTCAACACTATATTTTAGTAAGTCTGACGGACCACTTTTCTCTTTTTTTGAAGGGGGGGGGAGGGTTTTGACAACATTTCATTGCACAAAACGACGCACTGTACCAATTTTGAAAAAAAAATTGGGGCAATGTGATTTAAATAAATACAATTGTAACCCATATTCTTTTCTCCTTTTTTTGAAAAATTCACATAACTTTAAGTTTTGAATTTTGATCACGTAACTTTAAATTTGCCTGTTTTTTTACATCTGCATTGAATTAGGCTCTGTTCAATATAACTTAGAAATTAATGTCTTAAATAAAACATTTGACATAATAATAACAAGCTTTTCAAGTATATTGACATATCGTTTCAGGTTCCAAGTTTAGATAATACAAAAAGGATATTAAATTGGCATTTAGGTATATGCATACCATCGTCTTGCTCCGAACAAGACATTTACAACATCATAACTGCACGTGAGTATTTCATTTTAGAGATTTAGTACTTTCATTTCTGTTTGAGTTCTCAATAATAGATTAGCGAAACACAATTAGACGAATTATTAGAAAACGTGGTTTTTAATCTAGTTTAATTTACCACATTACCATTACTAGTTCATAAATACATCCGTTTTATGGACTAGTTCACATTAAAACTGGCTTAGTTTATCCAAAAAGAAACTTCAGTTTCAAAATAAAATCTGAAAGAGCATTTTTCCTATAAGCGTTAATTTCCATTTAATTTTAAAAAAAAATATTTTAATTTTGCATTAAAAAAGGATTGCGCAAATTAGTGCAACAGAAATTGACAAAAAACTAGGAGGGGCTGATGGGCTTTTTTGTGAATAATATGCTATAATATATTTTTATCACTGATATGAGTTCGCAACTGTTACTCATAACTGTTAGGTCTGTCATAACTGTTAGGTTTAGCCTATCTAAAGCCTGCGCTGTCTACGCTTATGTCGCAAAACGCCAATATGGAGAAAAGCCACAGTTTTATGAAATTGAAAAGCGTTTGTGGTCTAATTTTTTAATATTTCAAAACTTACTCCAATGCCGCTTTACCTGGGATCATAAAAATTTGTAAAAACTTAGAATAAGGCAGTTTATTTTGATCATTTTTATTTCGGTGGAAAAATGTAGCCAAGTAAGTAATTTTTTAAAAAAAGTTTAATAACTTTAAAAATATTTAAGTTATTTGCCCGTTGTAAAGCCTAGATAATTCTTCACGGAGAAATTATATATTTAGTTTAAAATCATCGCATTGCTTCAAGTGTAAAGTACTTAAATTATGGCTTTTTAATTTACCTTGGCGACAGAACTTCGAAAAACAATGTTGAAATTCGAGCTTTATCAGAAAAAAAAGATAATTTCCTTTGTTTATAATTCTAATACCTCATATAATTACTATAATTTCATGTAAGAAAAATTTTTAATGCAATCATAACAAAATGAACTACAACCTAAATTTAAAAAAAGAATCAATTATACATAAAAAAAGCATTTAAACTTTGAATGCATAATATGGCACACAATAAGAAGTAATAAATTAAAAATAACTTTACTTAATTAAAATAACTTTACAGTTCAAATTAAAAACGGTTTTAATCACTCTTGAGATATTTATAGTTTTAAAATTTTTATATGAATGCTAAGATTTATATCCGCCAATTTCTAATTTAACTTTAATTACTTTGATTAATTCCTTTTTTTCAGATAAAGTTAAGGACTTGATTATAAAATGACGATCTTGGATGAGATAAATAAATTTTTCTACAAAAATCGATAAATAGTCATTATTTAAAGCAAAAAATGTGCCCTGAAATTTTGACCTATTAGTAGCATTTCAGTGGGCTACAAATTCACCAAACATAGTACTTCTTCCCACAAATTTAACAGTTTATAATTTTCGAAATAATTATATAATGTTAGTTTTTTTAAAAATTTAATTTTACTTCCTGTACATTTTACTACTCACCTTTATAACTTCAAATTTCTAAGTCGTACAATTTTTGACGAACAAAACAAAATGTAACATTAAATTTGACACCCAAAACAGTGGTGGCAACGGCAAGCCATCATGCAATTTTTTAATAAAAAGAGATTCAATTCTTGGCCCTCAAAATATAAGAAGGGGCAACCACAATTTGGAAAATAAGGTTACGATATTTTAAGAAGGAAAGAGATCGAAATCTTAAGTCCCTTAATGTTTATTTAAATTTTTCATGCATTTTTTAATTTTTTCAAATACAAACTAAGATAAAAATTTATTTTTACAGTTTTATTTTTTTAGAGTAGTTAATCCAATTTCTTCCTTAAGATGCATAGTTTTGTCATTTAAAACTATGGATTAACTTGATGTGAAAATTTGCAAACATACAATTAAAACTTTTTAGGTCATTAGGTGAGTTTAATAATAAATAATCAAATATTTATAATTTTTCTCATACAATTATCTCCGGGTAAACAATTTTTATGTGAAAAGGTTCTCTTCTTTATCTATCCTTTTTTTACAGCTTGATTAGTTCCATAGATGTGGCGAAATATGCAGAAAAGGAAATTAACATTAAGAAGCTCAAACTTTTGACTGCTTTCTTGTCTAAACTATTAAAACAATATTTTCCAGACAGCGGCAACCCTCTCGTTTTATTTTGAAAGTTAACAATTCAAATTCGTCGAATAAAAGATGCGTTTATTCAGAGAAAAAATATTTTTGTGGCCGATTTTGCAAGTTAGTGCTTAAAACTAATGTATGTTTAAGTCCTCGAACTATGAATATTGAGTCCCAATACACATAAATTATATCGTACGTTCGCTCCTTTTTTCCCCGTATACCTTATTACCATGAATATTGAGTCCCAATACACATAAATTATATCGTTCACTCTTTTGCGCCTTGTCTATCCTATAACCATGAATATTGCGTCCCAGTACACTTAAATTATATCGTTCACTCTTTTGCGCCTTGTCTATCCTATAACCATGAATATCGAGTTCCAGTACACATAAATTATATCGTTCACTCTTTTGCGCCTTGTAATGCGCCTATGAATATCGAGTTCCAGTACACATTAATTTATGTCGTTCACTCTATTTCGCCCTGTATACCCTATTACTATGAATATTGAGTCCCAGTACAGTAAAAGAGTAAATTATATTGTTTACTCTTTTGTACCCTGTATATACTATAACTATGCATTTTGAGACCCAGTACACATAAATTTTCTCCCCGTTTACCTTATTACCATGAATATTGAGTCCCAGTACACATAAATTATATTGCTCACTTTTTTGCGCCCTGTATACCCTATAAGACAAAAAAAAGTTTCCTGGTATGATTAGCCAAATCTCCTATTATTATCTCATAAATATTATTTTATTAAAATTCTGAAATAATCAGTTCACCTCACTCTTTCTATTTTCAGTTACTAAAGCCAAATTTGAAAATGTAACTGCTTCCGTTTCAAACTGCGAATCAAAAATAACCAAACAATGGACGGAGTCAACCGAATTTGCAGTGTAAGTTCTCCCACTGCATCTTACTAATTTTGTGTTCTGTTTTCATACATGATTTTCCGCTATCACCACCCTTCGTATATAAATTCAGAATCTCTGTAAACAAAAAACAGGTAAAAGAACTAAGCACATAACAGTGCTCATCAATAAATATTTAAATAACGGAAAAACACTAACCAAACCTCAGAGGAAGCGTTGTTAATATCAGTCGTCTAAAACAGGTACTAAAATAATTTTAACTGAGGTGAAAAATGAGAAAGTGCTTTTCCAATGAAGATTTATGCAAACAACGTGCACCTCATTTTGTATACCAGTACAGTATACCTCTTTTACTAATTATGTCTCCCAATAGTTATCAACTAAAAGTTTACAACGAGAGTCTAAAAATTAGTTGAGTTCTTGGTATAAATATACTTTTCGAAAAATAAATAAATGGTAATAATTAAAGTTTTTAAAATACAATGTTGTTCCTTTCACTCTAGTGTAACATTTAAAAGAAATTGACTTTCGAGACATTATTCAACAGACAGAAGTTATTAAGAGATTAGTCAATCGAAAAAAATTTGTACGGAAAAAATACCTCGGTTGCATGGGTAACTTTGCCCATCATGTTTTTCTGTTTGTATTGAAAGAGAAAGCAAATATATATAGACCGAAGAGCCATTACATTATGACCACCCTGCTAATAACATGTAGGATCACCTTTAGCCCTCAAAACTGCTAGCACCCGCCGTGGCATTGATTCCACAAGGTGCTGATAAGTAGTCTGAGGTATCTGATAGGTAGTCTGAGGTGAGCGTGGCAGCATGAATTTGGTTTTCCAAGTAGGAACATAAATGCTCTATTGGATTAAGGTCAGATGAATTTGGGGGCCAAGACATGACTTGAAAGTCACTGGAATGTTCCTTGACGATTCGACCCTTATGACATGGTGCATTATCCTTTTGGTAAACACCATTCCCCGCAGGAAAAAATGTTGCCATGAATGGGTGAACCTAGTAGCTATGTTCAAGTAGCTTATAGACGTCAAGGATTGTTCTATGAGGATTATGGGTCCTAATGTGCCCAATGAAAACATTGTTCCAGGGCGAGAGACCATGAAAACCTGGACGAGCCTATTGTTATAGATGGTAGGTAGTCATAATGTAATGGCTCTTCGGTGTATATCTGAACGCAATACGCTGAGTCTATATCTTCAGAACAAAGACTAGAAATTTACAGTACACGAAATTTTCACTAGAAATTAAATTTTGGGCAAAGTAACCTCAGTTGAAGATTTTCTGCGAGTTACGTCATACAACTTATTTCTGAAATTTTCTGTTGCACGAGCAGAAAACAAGCTTTTTAATTGGGTACTTGCAACTCGAGAAGAAATAAAGTGATGATTACGTCTAATCATGTGGTTTAAATCAGATTCAGTTGGACACCAGTAAGCGACGTCACGCGTGTGTGATTGGATTCTGAATAGACAAATTGCCATGATTTACCTATTATAACGTCATCAGGTATCCAAATGGAGATGTTCTTCGCCTTAACATTTAAAATATTTCAAAAGGCGTTGGCTATAATTTATTTATTTCAGACATAGTTAACTTTTTTTTAGAATAGATTTCATGCTAACGTCTTGTTATAGAATTAGAACTATGAATTAAAAAAAAATAGGGATTCGGCGCAATCTTTTACGTGAGGTTCCTGCAAAACGAATCAAATGCCTGATCTTAATACGTCAGTTACAAAAAAAAAAAAAAAAAAAAAAAAAAAAAAAAAAAAAAAAAAAAAAAAAAAAAAAAANAAAAAAAAAAAACAAAGAAGAAGAAAGTAATTTAATTTTTTCCCCGCGTATTTTCATCTTTTCAGCAATTTTTGATTGCCATTACTAGTTAAAAGATTAAGAGGTACTTTCTTAAGGGTACTTTTTTTAAAATAATTCTTCCTATCTGATGAATTCCATGTACATATCATCTTACAGATTGGTGCTAAAATGTTTATTGGGTCTGTGCATAATAGGCACCCTGTTAGACGTAATGGACCAAGAACCAGCCGAAGCTGAAAGATTAAACACTGGTAAGTTCAGTACATACATTAGGGGAGAGTGGGGTCAATTGTAAGAGGGTACGATTGTAACAGAGCAAAAATTTCGAGTGACGGGTTCTAGATTTGGTTGCAAGGTGGCGCACAAGGTGTATTTAACAAATCTACATGTACACCCCTGCTGGCAACCATTTTTATGTACTTTTGAAAGAGTTACATCACAAAAGATATTTTCACGCTACGTAAGTACTTTTTTTGTAATTAGAATATTATATTGTAACAAAGTAATTCTGTTTAAACAAATAAAAATTATTAACCGAATATGTTAGTAGACACCTTAGTTAACATTTCAAAAAAAAAGATTAGTATTGCTAATTAACTAGTATTGTTTTTAACAAATGAAGCTGAAATGGCGTCTTGGGGACGATTGTAACAATAAGTAAAGGGACGATTGTAACAGCTGAAAATAAATAATCTTATGTTTACAAACCATTACTTAACTCTTTAAGAACCACCAATAGTTTCCTATATCATTTATATTATGTTGCATGTGCATTATTTTATTTGTCACCTTTCACAGCATAAATTAAAATTTTTAACCCCTTAAAGTTAAAAGTTTAACCCTTTAGGTCTCTGCTCATTATTATTTTTACTCCTAAAATATCACTACTATTTTGATCAATAAAAAAATATATCACAACTATGATAATATGTATAATTAACTATGTTTTAGTTGAATTTATGAACTGTTACAATTGACCCCGTAAGTGGGGACAATTGTAACAAGTGCACGACTGTCAAAAATTGTTAATAACTAATATAATAACATTTAAAATAAGGTATTTATTTTTTTTCTAGTAGAGGATAGTCTACTTTACTCGTCTGTCAATTAATACTAATAATATATTGGATTTTTTGTTAGTTAAAAATAGTTAAGTAAAAAATGTTACAATTGACCCCACTCTCCCTATATTTGGCTATATTTGGTTGGATCCCTTTTCAGCCTATTGAAGGCGTCGTTGGTTAAAGGCGTATGATATTCATCAAAATTTAAGACTAAGATTAACATTACTGAATTTTAACCAGTGAAAGCAAGAGTGGTCTTTCATTCTTGCTTTAGCAGTAACACATTTATTGCACACCATATAAAAAGTTAAGAAATAAAAACACATCAAAGAGAGAACCTTGCCTGACCACTTATCGCACTACTGGTCAGATTCAGCTAAAAGTAAACTGCTGTTTTTCTACGGAATTGCAGTATTTTTGAAGCTATTTTACTACCAAGAGTAAATTTTCATTTTAATTTGTAAACTTGGTCAATTCGTTGCTGTTTTAATTTTGTAAATTTTAACTCGTAGTACAATTTTGATTGTAAAAATAATTCAGTTTTTTTCAGTCAATGTGACTTAATTTTTTAGCAATTCATTTAAAGAAAAACTATAATTCTTGTCTACAAAATTACTGCAATTTTAAAAATTCAATTCAAAATCAGAAATTTAAAAAAAACGTAACTTTAATACAGCAGTCAATATACTATCATTGTTTTAGAATTGGATTTTCTGATGTATTTGCTTGAAAGCTACATATATTTTGTACTGATGTAAAAATGAAAAAGTATTCCATTAAATCAAGCATATTTTAATGTTATCAAACTAGCTTTCTTTAAAAATTCACTCTCTGTAACCTTTTATTTTTTTTCTTAATTATATATTTATTTTTGATTATTAATTCTATGGATTTTTATGAAGGTTCTTAACATATATATTAAACATATATTAATAAACAGTATACATAATTATAAAATACACATCAGTGGCATATTAGTATGTCAGATAATAGGGAATTGAGCTTGCTGTCGCAACCGCACTCTTTTGTAAAAAATTTCGATGACAGTTTTCCAAAACTATTGACAACCCCAAAGCGGGAAATTAAACAACCAGTTAATGAAAAAGCCTTAAAACTTCTTACAATATCGATTAATAATGAAAACGCTTTGTTCTCTTAGGTAGCATTCCATACCTAATAACCCTCTACTAGCAGCTGTCGGATATTTTTTTCCGTTGGCAACCTTTTAAAATGCAAATATTGCGAAGTTAAAATCTTCTATACATTTTCCGACATTCCTTTCTTTTATCAAGCTTTAATTTTATTTTTTTCTTCAAAACTATTAATTACTAAGTTTTAATTCAATTGATAATTTTGCAGGGCTTGAAGAAAGTCAGAAATTTTACCCGTCCCCGAGGACGGCTTGTCCCCTAATGTACCCGCCCTCCTTTGAAACTAACCCGTAGCTTCTAAATAAATAAAAATATAATTTTCTCTTATTTATTACAAACAATTATATAAATTGCACAATGAATTAGTAGTTACTAGGATTACAACTACTAGGTTACTAATAGTAAAACCTAGTATTTCTTTTATGAAATAATTTATTTCTTTTATGAAATAATTTAAATTACAAAGGTCAAGTTATCTGGAATGTCAATTTATCAGAGGGTACTTCGTTTTTTAAATGAAACAAATATGACGTTAGCCAGTTCCACAATCAAGCCAATGATTTACAGAGGTTTCTGCACAGAAATCTGAAAGGGGTTTTCTATTTATGTAGATGTTCATAATTGCGCTTAACGCTTCTTGTTTAAGATCAGTACGTAATGTGTTTTTTTGTAAGTTCATTGCTGAAAACCCCCTTTCAACCGCTGCAGTACTCCCAGACAGAGAAAACATCAATTCCACCAAGCGCAGTATGTTGCTGTATTTCTAGATTAGAGGGTCATTTTAGAAGTGAGGCGCTAGACTCTTATAAGATAACAAAAATTGAATATGTATCATGATTATTAACGGGAAAATGTCATCCGCCCGGACGTCGGATTCGAGAAATTTGTTGTCCGCAAAGAATTTTTGACAGCCGAGGACGGGCAGACGGGTGGTTTTTCGAGCCCTGTAGTTTTGTCTTATTTGCGCAACATTCTGTTCATAAACTATAACACAAACAATATTTGTTTCCTTATTCTATCCTTATTCTATTTGTTTCTTTATTCCATCCGGAAACCTCTTGCCCAGCTGTTCTACTCTGAGAGAGAGACTATGTCCTCGTGAAATTCTGACCAAGAGCGCCACATTTTTTCGTTACCTTTTTCTTATTATTATCTGCAAACACACACAATTATTTTATTTATTTTGAATATTTAATTAATTTATTTATTTCAATTCAATTGTCTGAATAGGAATTCAAATACCATCAGGCATCAGTTCCATTTTATAGACTATTGACAGATTATTCATTTGGCTGATTATACGCTTAATTTGTATGCCCAGTTGCTCTAGTAAGCCCAGTTGCCCAAACTCTGCAGACAATCAGAAGCGTACAGAGTAAATTTCAAAAGATTAAATATTTATTTCTTTTGCAGGTATTATCCGTCAATCTTTGAAAGCTTTCTCCATTCGTTCAAACACCATAAAACTATTTGACAGGGCGAGAGTCGATGTCGAAATTCGGCGAATTTGTGGTGTTTTGTCCGTCGTGTCTATCTGGATCATCGTATGTAATACAATTGTGTATCGGACACCCTGGAAGGAAATGCGCTACAGTAAGTTGCTAACACACTTTTTTTTCCATTCGTTGCAATTGTGTGATTTGTTGAATTCGTAAAGAATGAAGCTTTACAAGATTTCAAAATCAATATAGTATTAAATTGATTATAGTATTATAATGTCTAATGTAATTCTGTAAAAAAGGATTGATTTCTTTCTTTCCGTTGGCAACAACAATGCATCAACAGCATTAAATGTGAAAATTTAAATAATTTATAAAATGAAAGTGGTATGTTACACAGCAATAACTCAATGAATGAAATTCAGGGCTCTTGTTGCGAGGTGACGATGTAATCAGGTTTCTGTCAGTTGCAATGGATACTAGCGACAACATATGGAAATTTTGTAATGTGCGTTTTGAAATGTGCGTAGAATTGAAATATTTTCTATAATTTAAGTAACGCTCAGTAAAATACTGGTGATTAAAACATGAATATGTGAATACTTAAAGAAAGATAATTTCTATTTGCTTGAATATTTATTTTGAATTTTATATAATGGATATTTGAGTTAATAAACATAAACATAACTATATATATATATGGGTCATTCTCACAAAAACAGTCATTTTCATGTCCCCAGTATATTTTACGTTTGTTTAACAGCTTACGAAAAAAAAAAAATTAGGGAAAGTGTCCTTCAGAATGCAAGCTAACAAAAGAATAAAAATAAAATTATCAATTTTTATTTTTTATTTATTTTAGGTAATTAAAATATACCAATATGTCATTCCCTCACTTGTCCCCACTGCTGATTTAAAAAAAGAAAAAAATTGTTTCTGAAATAAAATTTTTTTTTTTACAAATTCGTGTTTTTTATTTCAGAATACTGAAATATAGAATTCAGAAAATCAATTTTAAATTTAATTTCTGATAAAAATATTAACACAGCACTATTTTAAACTTTGTCCCCAGTGTTTCGCGTCATTCCCTCACAACAATGTTCTTATCACCTGCAATCTTCTTAGAATAAAAATATTTTAATAAAAACTTCAGAAGTTAACAACTGGCATCATAGAACAAAATTGCAGTATGTTTCCATCTTCAACTTAAAGAAGCTTTGCTGTGGAATAAATTTGAATGAATCAAACCAGGTAAAATTTTTTACATTTGTCATTCCCTCATGTCATTTTTTAGAGTAAAATAAAATACAACTTCATCGAGAAAGTGGATAATTATATGTTGCTTTCTTGTATGAATATAATTGTATGTGATTGACTTCAGAAATTAATTAGGCCTAACTGTTATTTTTAAATTTTATTGAATTCGTCATTCCCTCACTAGTGTATAAAGTGAGGGAATGACGCTGAAGTGAGGGAATGATTCAAGATGAGTATATTATTAAATTTTTTTTTGTTCAATCGTGCCAGCCAATTTTATTTCCCAAACCTGTAAAAACTATTAAATATATAAGACTAAATTATAATAAATATTAGATATACTTAGTATGTTATCATTTTCAAACTTTAGGTAGATGTAACTTAGATAAAAACATGTATTAAAATAAAATATCATTCCCTCACTATTAGTGTCATTCCCTCACTTTTTAAATAGTGAAAATAATTAATTTACTTATTAATTAATTTGAAAAATAAATTAAAAAATTAATAAATTAATTTATTAAATTAATTAATTTATTTATTAAATTAATTAATTAATTATTAATTATTATAAATTAATTAATTATAAATTAATTATTTAAAAAATTAATTAATTTAAATATTAAGTATAATTTATAGGATATATACTTTCTTTATAATGCCATTACATATTTCTATTAATATAAAAAGTTTCAGAGCTTTTTATTCACTTTACTTTTTTGGGATTTTATGAACTGAAAAATGACAGTTTTCGTGAGAATGACCCATATATACTCAAGAGGCAAAACATTATGACCACCCCTACATTTTGCAATGAACTCTCCTGGATGACGTGGAAGGCACGTGATCGGGGGGATTTGGTATTTAACTGTTGCTGGAGAATTTTGAAGAATCATTCTTTTAGTTACTTCTGTGTGTGATGGGAAAGGCTGCTAATCTAAGCGACTCTGATAGAGGGCAGATTGTAATGGGTCGAAGGCTCGGAACAAGTATTCCGAAATTGCACGACTCGTGGGTTGTTCGCGATCTACAGTTGTTAGTACTTATGCAAAGTGGATGAATGACGGTGAAACCAGCAGTAGAAGACATGGTGTTGGACGTCTACACGCTATCAAAGAAAAAGGTCGTCGGAGATTGTCTCGTTTGGTGAAGCAAAACCTGGGCCAGACAGTGGCTCAGCTGACACCCCAATACAATGCAGGGTCAAGTAGGATAGTATCAGAGCACACTGTCCAGCAGACACTGTTGGATATGGAGCTACACAGCAAACGTACCAGTCGTGTGCCTTTGCTGACCAAGCGTCATCGCCAACTACGCCTGCACTGGGCCCGGGAACATCACGACTGGTCCATGGATCAGTGGGAGAGAGTTGCCTGTTCAGATGAATCACGATTTCTCATTCATCACGCCGATGGCCGTGTCAGAATACGCCGTCTTCCAGGCGAACAATTGCTCCCTCAATATACAGTAGGTCATACGCATGCCGGTGGTGGCGGTATTATGCTTTGGGGGACGTTCTCTTGGGCATCTCTGGGACCCGTGGTTGTGGTAGAGCAGACCATAAATGCTACTGGGTATCTGAACTGAACATCATTGCGGAACAGTTGCACCTTTACACGGCCTCTGTTATTCCAGTTGGAAATGCAATTTTCCAACAGGACAACGCCCCGTGTCACAAGACTCAAATTGTTTTGGAGTGGTTCCAGGAACATGATCCTGAATTCCAATTATCCTGGCCACCTAACTCACCGGATCTCAATCCGATATAACACATTTGGAATATCATGGAACGGCAGCTCAGAGTTCAAAGACCACTAAGTCTGAATATCTCGGATATGAGTGACCGTTGTTTAAAGATCTGGTACAATCTGTCTCCGGTCACCCCAATACAATGTACTTGTGGCATCCATGCCAAGACGGGTTGCAGCAGCGTTGCGGGTTAAAGGTGGGCTAACTCGTTATAAAGAGGTGATCATAATGTTTTGACTCTTGAGTGTAACTTATTGCTCCGCTTAATACAAAATATGAAATTTTCTGCAAATTTAACAAGTGACATTTACGAAATGTGCTTACCATCAGGATCAAATTGCTGGTTTTTATTTATTTATTATAGAGATATCATATTTTGTTATTTAGTTGGTAATCTTAATTGGTGATTTAATAACTCTAAGAGCTTAAAAGAAAAGATCTACTAAGATTGCGATTGAACAAATTGGAGAGTACTTGCAGGTGGTTGACTAGCCAGGAAAAAAAAACTACTTTTGTGTTTTGTATTTCTTTTAACAAAGACGATTTCATTGACACTAAAATTGTTATATATTTAAAATTTTGAAATAATTTTAAAAACCCATATTTTGTTATTTTCGTAAATTGGTTTGGATTAGACAAAACCTAAACTATTGACGCAGCGAACAGCTTTACATAATGGCTATTATTTACCTAAGTGAAGATTTTTTTCAGACTCCAATCTAGGATATCGGTATAGCATGATACATAACATTATTGTGGATCTATAACAACCTTGTAATTGAACATTAGGTTACTCTACGCAATTGCTTAAAGTTTTGTGTTTACTATTTGTACATTTTAAAGAGCAGAATCCTCTGCAACAACATGCCTTCTGAATTATTTTCGGAAAAAATTTTTTAACCTGCACCAAACACTATATTTTTCGCTTAGAAATTTTTTTAATAAATTTGACTTAAGATGTAAACAAATATTCATAATTCATAAAGTATTTAAATCCTATTCAGCCTTTAGGTCACTGTGTCATAAAGCTGTGCATATAATGCAAAAATTTGACTTTAAAATTGTATCGGAACATTTTTTTGCTTCCAGCCAAATTTTTCAAAGCAGCGTGAACCTGTCACATTGTCACATCACACAAGGAAACAACCCACCCTTACTGACTTCTGTATTTTATTATCGAGGTATTTGTATATTCTGATAGAGATCCTTTCTTTTTTTTCCTTTCCAGCAAGTTTCCGAGATATTTCCATGGCCGTAGGGTTTGCAGATAGCTTTGTCGTAGCAATGGATGCGATCTTTTTCATATGGTAAGATTGTTATTCCATATTTCGGCGAATATATTGTCATTTATCAAAAGAAACGTCTGCACCAGTTGAAGCGCCAAGGAAATACGAGTATTGGTTTAGATGCCTTTATTTCCTGCCTTCTCCTATTCCATGACAGCTTTTGTTATTATTCATGAAATCATCCTAGGATAATTTGATGAATCTAATTTGATTTGATATTCTGTATTACATATCTATATAAAATGCATTTCAAAACTATATAAAGTTTGTTAATTAGTTGAAAGAACGAAAATCTGATTTTGTTTTCTCATCTTTATGCACGTAAAACTATTTTTATATATTTTTATATTTTTCTATTTTTTATTGTTTATATTAAATCCGTGTCGAGGCCTTTAAAAAATCTTTTACTCCAGTAGGTACCTATACGCATTACACATTAGGCACCTATTTCTCTCAATAGGCACCTATTTTATGCATTAAACACCTGGAACCATGATGGCTCAGATGATAGAGAGTTCGACTTCCAATGAGCTGAACCGGGTCCGAATCTCAGCGATGGCTGGTCGATACGAATTCTACATCCGGCTTGCATCGACCACAATGCTGACGTAAATGTCCTCAGTGGTAGACGGATCATGGGTTGAAGTCCCTTTGCCGTCAGGATAACCATGGGAAGTTTCCATGTTTTTCTTGTCAAAGTAACGTTAATGCCGGTTAATTCCAGTAAAAAGTCCTCCACGAAGGCAAATTTCTTCCAACACTTGATCCAGGAGTTCCTTTGTCTTCTGGATTAGGGTTGACAATTACAAGTCTACGGAGTTGAACATTAATAGTCATAAATCCCCCCCCCCAAAATTGGGTCAGCAGTTCTGTTATAAATGTAAACATTAGGCACCTATAGTATGCTATTAGGCTCTTAAAGCACTTATACATATGCATTTTAAAAACCAATTAACACAACCTGATGACTCATTACACCAACTAATTTAGCATTTAATGACGTTACTCATAGCTTTGCAATTTTTTCCGGTTCTACAAAACGGATAATCACTATTTTCTAATATGTCATTAGCATACTGAATAAATGTTAAGGAAATCATAAATCGTAGTTATCTTCCTATTTTTATTCTACCTAATTAAAACGAGTAGATGCGAATGTAGTTTTTAATTTATTAAATAAAACCTGAATTTGTCTATCTAATTTATATCAAATGTGTATTTCGATAAGTGAGGTATCCTCCAAAGATTTGAGATAGAAATTACACTTTTAATTTAACGTGATTTGCATAATTCAGTCGAAGTCCATTTGGAATGAAAAAGATGTTTTTATCAATTACCACCAGATATTTAAATACTGATTGGATTTCATTTAAATATGTTGTCGACAAAACTCAAAATTTCTTTATAAATTTCACAGTGGATTTCTGTCAATCTTTTTATTTTGGAATATCTGCGAGAAAACAGGAGGAATCACGGGTGTTTTCAAAGGACTTCTAAAGATTTATTTCAAGTACGTTAAAAATTTATTACTACTTTTTTAAAAAAAATTAAATTATATTTGAGTATCAGCTTTGTTGAAAGCTTTATTAAATGTGCTGTTTAGTTAGTGGCTTAAGATTTACTGTGACTTGGTTTCACAAAATTCAAATTAGAGATTTATAAAAAATGCAGGGTGTTCTAAATTAGATGGATGGATTTTGAAAATTTATTCCGGGAATGGTTAAGGTTAAAAAGAAATTAATAAAAAACAATTCTTGAGACAAAGTCATATCGCATAGTATTACAGAGCAGATCTTATTGAGCTGCTATTAGTTCAAAATTTTTTTAAAAGATGGCGCTGTATGCTGATTGAATTAAAGCTGAAGTAGTACAAATTAAGGAGAAACAACTGAAAACCGCATAGCAATTTTTCCAAATCGTTCAGTGAATAAAAATCGAATCACGATATTTTAGAAATGTCCATAATCAACTATAATCAGAAGTAGTAATCGGATGAAGCTTTTATACCGATAAATGGATCGGAAAAAACCACATAAGGTAACAGAGCCATCTGTCTGAAAGAACTTGAACTGAAACAAAAGGCTCTGGAGAAAAAAAAAACTATGCCCTATCACATAAATTTTTAGAAAAAAACATTTTTTTTTTATTTTTTTAAAAAATTTTTTTAAATAAATTTTTTTGTTTTTTTCTGGATTTTTTTGGTGTTATACACTTTAGATGAACTTTTGAAATCCATCAGATAATAAAATCGTTATAGATAATGAATTTAAGTTACGCTTGAAATTGAACCAAATTNATAAAAAATGCAGGGTGTTCTAAATTAGATGGATGGATTTTGAAAATTTATTCCGGAATTTTATTTTATTTTTTTTTTAAATTTATGGTTTGATGAATTTTATTGAAAATTTATTGTTTGATGAATTTTATTGAATTTTATTGTAAATTTATTGATTTTTATTAATTTATTAAGAAAATAAATTAATAAAAAATAATTCTTGAGACAAAGTCATGTCGCATCGTATCACAGAGCAGATCATATTGAGCTGCCATTAGTTCAAAAAATTTTAATAGATGGCGCTGTATGCAGATTGAATTAAAGCTGAAGTAGTACAAATTATGGAGAAACAGCTGAAAACCATATAACAATTTTTTCAAATCGTTCAATGAATAAAAACTGAATCACGATATTTTCGAAATGTCCACAATCAACCATAATCAGATGTAGTAATCGGAGGAGGAAGCTTTTATACCTAATAATTAATCGGGAAAAACCGCATAAAGTAACAGAGCCATCTGTCTGAAAAAATTTGAACTGAAACAAAAAGCTCTGGAGAAAAAAAACTATGCCCTATCACATAGATTTTTGCAAACAAAAATTGCTTTTTTTTTAAATTTTGTAAAATTAATTGTTTTGGTTTTTTCTGTTTTTTTCTTTTTGGTGTTATACACTTTAGATGAACTTTCGAAATCCATCAGATAATAAAATCGTTATAGATAATGAATTTAAGTTACGCTTGAAAATGAACCAAATTTAACTGTATAAGGTTAAATGAACTTTACTGAATTTATGGCACTTAATTTAACGGAATAAAACATTCATACTTCATTGATAAACTAATGAAAAAAAATTTAACTGTATAAGGTTAAATGAACTTTACTGAATTTATGGCGCTTAATTTAACGAAATCAATCATTGAGGGAAACTATGACTTTATATTTTTCCTATTCAGAGTACTTCTTCTTCTTCTTAGGCACTACAGCCGGTTACGGACCAAGGCCGTCTCGGTCAGTTCGACCCCATCTAGAGTGATCTGATGATATATGTCTCTTCGATACAATTTACTAGAGTACCTATAACCATAATTAATTATGCACCGCTGATATTAATAGCTAGGCGGTTTTCCATACAGTCTCGGAAGTGGAACAGCGCCAAAACTAGCATCGTTGGCTTAAAAAGGTGTTCTAATATAAGCAAATTCTTCGGTTAGATATCTTCGGAAAACACGTAATAGCTTTTAGACGTTTGACCAATGATTTACTCTTGTTATAAAGCAGTTTTTTCTCCTCTCTCTCTAAAAATTGTCTTTAACTGCCATATTTTACTTTAAATAAAAATTAAAAAAAGGGTTTTAATATTTTAAGTTAAAAATATTATCCCAGAAGGGGAGTGATACTAAATCGTTGCTAAATAAATCATTGTCGCAGATACTTCTAGACTTAGAATTTTATATTTTTTAAAACAAATTTTTATTTCACTTTGGCGAAGTTAGAAAATTGTTAAACAAATATTTATCAATGCATATTTTATGTAGCAGATTTTTATATCCATTTATAGACGCTTTATGGCCTTTGAAACAAATAATTATCCAGTTACATATCCATAAAAACGATTCTATTAAAGGCATTTTTATAGCTAATTTTACGAAAACTCTTTGATTCTTTTCATATTCAAAACCCATATTTTAAAACTTCCTTTTCCATATCCAATAACAAGTAGAGGAAAATCCTCTTTATTTTATTTCTAACCTCAAATTATTCGAATTTTGTTCAAATAGGGAGGGACACCTAAGGGATGTCTTCATTGTAAACCCTTTATTGGTTTTTTGTGTTTTTTGTTATGTTCATGTTATGTTCTATAAACACGTGGAACAGAACTGAGCAGATATTGACGAGAAGGTGGAATAAAAATTCCGGAAACGTTGTAGTTCTAAATTAACAATTTGAACGTCTTTTTCCTAAGGGTGTCTACCAATGGTATTCCTTCAAAAACAAATATGCTGGAAATATTTTATAACAATTAAATTATAAGCAAAGAAACCGGTTTGCAAAAATTCGCCGCTACTTGTACAAGGATTCGTTAAAAATAGCAAATGCTTCAAAATGCTTTTTTTTTAATTTTCAGATATTTAATTGCATAAAGGGGAAAAAAGAATTGCACACACATACCTGCCAACTTTTAATCCCTTCCACTATGATATTTCCATGTAGTAGTAAAATGGAATTAAAATTTCAATTGTAAGCAAATAAATTATGTTGTATTTGATAAAACATCTACTGACAGCCATGATAGTAACGCTTATTAATATATGTGCTTAATTTTTTTAAGAATAGTGGTGATCAAAATCATTTAAAAATTAAGTTTTTAAAAGAAAATATAGTATATATTAACTACCACTTTAATTATGAAAATAAAATTTTACTCCAAATGCGTAAAAGTTGGCAGGTATGCACGCATGATAAAAAAATAGCTGCGTTCAAGAAATTTATCAATCAGCAATATTTTTGTTTTAAATGCTGCTTTATGTGGAAGTGCGATTAAAAAATTGAATTAATTCAAACAATTAATTAGAAATGTGTGTGGAGTTTGGCACTGTAATTTTAGCTAGGTGTTGCTATGCATTTAACAATACTCTTGACAAAGATAATGTATTAGCTTTACCAAAGTTATGACAAACTTTTACATAATTTTCTAATTGTTTTTTCAAATAACTATTTTTTCGTTAAATTTGGCAAGTTTTTAAAACTAATTATAATTCATGCTGAATCTAATTAATTATAATATAACACTTGCTAAATAGTAGCTAAATATAAATAAATGTGCATTACTTACATTTATTCCAGTACAGAGGATGCTGCATTTCTCATAAATTTCCTAAATGGAGGAAAAATAAATTTATATAGGTTGCTTGAAAACATAAAATACATTAACTATGCGTATCATAAACATCTATAAACGAAGTGAAAAAATGGAGCAAAAACAGTTTTTAAAAGTTCTGTGAAAGTGCTAAATCTCTCTAATGAATGATCATTTTAGTAATTAATTTAGAAATACCTAATTTGCTAGTATTTAACCTCAATTTTTCCCAATCAATACGTGATGCGTTTTTTTAATAAATTAAACGGACGAAATATTTTGTCAATTTTTGATGCGGACAGAAAGAAAATCACTAACTTCAACCAAAGACTGGAAATTACGAACAGTAATACAAAAAGAGGAAAATGATAAAAAAATGAAAAATCGCCTTATCAAAATAAAAATTTAATTAATGCATTACTTTGCAGCATCAAGTCATAACTCATTTGCATTTATATTTGATTTAAGTGTCTAAAATTATAACAAATAGTCACAAATTTTCCAATAATATATTTAGAGCAACTATAATTATCTAATATGTGTTTTAATCTTCTCTAATCTTCTTGGTGCAGATTGACAGCCATTAACGCATTCACTATACTAGCGTCATTTGCTCTAGCTCTAATCTATTATGGCCCTCTCTGGAATCAAACCTGGAATGATGAGTTAATGAGATGCCGAAATAATGGTTGGCTTAATTTATTCAATGCGCAGACGCTTTTGCCTATTGACGAAACGGTGAGTAAAGCTTGCACAAGGGTAACAAAATTAATTGTAACCCTTAAAAACTTTTGATCGAACTATCAAAACTTTTGCCTATGCAAGACAATATAATTCAGCACACATTTGCCACAGATATATTTTATTTAATTAATGGTCTATAAATTGAATGATAAAACCAGGCACTGAGAAATAGTTTCTCTGAATAAACATAACTTTTTATTTTGTTTGAATGAATTGGATGGGACTTACGACTATTTGAGAAAATGGTCTACATAGATCAGTCGAGAAAGCTATCGAAAATTAAGTCCCTACAATTTTGTTTTTGGATTTTCATTATATCTTCACAACGTATTGTTTAAATTAAACATGTTTCACCGATTTATGAAACTCCTAATTTCTTTTCAAATTAGTTTTTCACAGATTTTTCATGACTTTTTATTAATTAATTTAAAAATTATCTAAAATTTTTAAACTTTAAAGTATACTATTTTCTGCAAAACTATGCAATTTTACATGACAAAATGTCTGAAAATAAAATATGTAATTTAAAATAATTCATGAGTAATAAATAATTTTTAAAAGTAGAATCTTAAAACTATTGTTTTATTCTTAATTTGAACTCCGACGTTGCATTTCTGAGTCCTGTAGAGCGACCACCACTGTGCTTTTTCCAAAAAGTTTAGCAATTAATAATTTTTGAACTAGAACTTACCGAATGTTAATTTATTTTTACTCCATTGTATTTTTCCGATGAGTCAAAATTTTTAAAAATTTTATTTTAACAGTTTATTTTATGATTTATAGTATGATTCTACAATTAATTCTTTTAAAATGCAATAGTCATAACAGAAGTGTAAAAATAAAAATCAAATTTCATGTCTATTTCCTTAAACGCACATTCTAGGTGATGACTATTTAAGACATTCATATCAAGTTTCTATGACGAATTTCTTAAATTCGCTTTGTCCTAAACAAACTTCACCGGCAAGTTAAAGTTAGAATAATGTTTTAATTCTTTGTTTGTTTTTTAGTGCTGGATGCACACATGGTACCCAGCATTATTAGTGCAGTGTTCGATAGCATCTATTCCTCTAATGTTTCTCCTTTACAGGTAAATTATTACTAAACCTATGATCTGTCTTGCATTCAAATAAATAAAAAAAATGTTTCAAAAACTTCTCTATATTTTGAATCTTAAGTTGTAGATATTTAAGTTGAAGATCTGCCGTTGATCAGTTTTCAATGTGGGTATAAAATTTAACGCTTGTTCTTTGTTTCATTATAATTCATTTTATTGCAGATCTACCGTTTACCTCTACCATTGTCCAAGTGCGTAGCTTTGTTAATTTTAAACCCAACGCAAAATACGAGGTATTTTTAGATGATGCAATGAGACAAATGAATTTTTTGCTTAGAATCTAGTTATGAAAACTAACAAAAGTTTGCATTTTACTTCAAAAAAGTTGGGCAGGAGCACTAACACTATTCGTGTCTTACCAGGAATGTTTTACGATTCTATTATCAAGCTTATCTAAAATTAATCAGTTAACAATTATTTAATCAAAGGAAAAACATTTCTGTGGAATGTTCCGTTATGATATCACGCACATAAAAATTGAAATATTCTAAAATCTTGACTCCCATAAAATTTAAAAAAAATAAAATCGTTCTGATACCAACTAGTTAATCAAAAGAAAATTAGTTCTGTGGAATGTATCGTATGCTCCGTTACAAACATAAATGTGAAAATGTTTCGAAATCTTTAGTTCCATGAAATCTGAAAGTTGAAAGTTAAATATTTCTAAAAAAAAGGAAATAAAAAGCAATTGTCACTGTAATGTGTTATAGTCATAAAATCGAAATTTGAGTAAAAATGTTTTATTCTTTCTCCAATATTACCATTTACAGTATTATGCATTATAAAAACTTACTTCGAATTTTATTACTTACTTAGAATTATTAGACACTCTGTTGAAAATATTCTTGGTAATTTACAGTAAAAGTATCAGTGCTAAAAGTGATAGTGCCTTTTCCGGTAAATTTAACGTTCATACAAAGATTTATGGTAGAAAAACGAATAGTATGAGCGTATGACCATCTGTTTTGAACTTAGAGGAATTGTTTTGCAATCCAATGCACTTACCTCTGTACCATCTAGTCGCAGAGATTGTATACTATTTTAAAAATTAATTAGAAAATTGATCATGACGTAATAGTGAATGGTTAGAAAATTTACATTGACTATTAGCATCTATTTTTGTAGTGTAACTTACTCTAAAAATTGCAAAATACTGTAGGCTACTTTTTAAGAAAAATATTTACCTAACAATTTTCTTAATTTGATTAAAAAATGAAATAATTTTTATGAAAGTTTTGAATATTCTTTAAAATGTATATCTTTAAAGAATTTAATATATTTTACTGACATTTTTCTTGAAATTAAGGTACCCGAAGATAGGTTTTACTGTTGGAGTACTGGTATTAGCTGTTATTTTAGGTACGGAGAACGCAATTTCGTCTAGAATGTTAGATTCGCTTCACTACTTTGAGTAAGTGTAAACAAACCAATTACTTATGCTTCTTCTAAGTAGGAAATATATCATACCTCTAATGAATGCCTTGTTGTTTGAAATTACCTTTTTCTTAAATATCTGCAAAAATGCAGAAAGAAATTGCTAAACTTAAATTTTTCTTCATTTATCTTTTTATAAATTAGAATTCTTTCTAAAGCAAAATTATTAGTATTTTCCTTTGTTGAAATTAAGGAAAGGTAGTTTTAAATCTCGTGTTTCGTTAAAAATGCAGAGTTCTATTTTCATTTCTTTAGAGATATTTCATTTTAAGAAATTTAAGAATTAAAATAGAAAATAATTCTACTTGTTTCAGACATTAGTTAAACACATTCTGAAAATTGTACATCCAAAAAAAAATATTTATAATTTCAAGTTCTGTTGCCAAATTTATGTTGTTATATTCTTTGGAGAAATTTTTTTTTCAGTTTTCGGTATAAATCATTTCGTAAAACAATTGTCCTTAATATTATCCTGAATTATTAAAGACAATATTAAAGTTAAATGCTTTGAAAAGTGTCTGATACAAAACTTTGATAAAAAAATTTTAATTTTTTTTTATAAAAATTTTAATAGTAAGAATATATATTTTTAATTTATCTTTTTCCTAACTTGTTATTTATTGAGAAACTCTGCTTTTTTGGAATGAATATAATAAAAGGGATTTTTTGCAATAATTTTAAGGGATGAGATTTTCTGTTATTAATATAATGAATTTATTTATAAAATTTTGCATAGAGTATAATTACAACTTACAAGATGTGGCAATTATTTTCCAAGAATGATCTGAAAACTCTTAAAAATATAATGTAAATTACTTGGCTATTGAAAATATTTCAATTTAGTACAGTTGACATCAACAATGAATTCATCGAATCTAATGGCCGGTATAGACTGGTTGATAAGGCATTGGGCCCATGTCCAATAGATCATGAGTTCAATCCCCGCCGGCCGAAGACACCCCGTGTAATAAATTGTGACTGGTGCACGTTATGTCTGCCTGGAAAAAAGTCCTCCAAGTTCCCATCACAAATCAATACCTCTGGGGGTATTGAGTTGGAGATCGATCATTTTCTTGTTCAGGTCATAATTACATTCTGTGGAGGAATGAATGGACGGATGAACAGGTCCGGTGATGTGTGCGTGGCTGATGACGTATTCTTGCCAATAGATGGCGCCACTAGAAAACAAGAAACTCACCCTCAGCCATAAATTCGCTTGGTTTCACTAAGCAGACTTGCCGTTTTTTGGCAAGTGGCTTTGAAACAACAACAAATACCGTCCTTATATCTTAGATATCCTTAAGTGTTGTTCCTTTGGCAATTTGATTTTCTTTAGGGAACAAAAAGTTTCCAAGAGATTTATCCGAAGATTAAATAATTTATGACCTCAAACTCTGAAACCAAATGATTAAAAAATTCAGCTTTAAATAGTGAAAATGAACACTTTTCTTAAGGCAAACGATTCTAAAAATCATGGGTTTTTTACAATTCGCATTTCAATGTTCAACTTTAAGCTTTTTATTGTTGAAAAAACTAAGAAAAAATTCACATTTTTGGAGTATAGCAATTACTTTCGTTAAGTTATGCTAATTCTTAAAACTTTTTATATGAACATTAGATGAAGAAATAACGATAATAGATTTTAATTTCTGTTATTTCATCTTTCATTATAACGTCGTAATCATCATCTGAGAGTTCTCCAAATCAATTACTTAATTAAACTCGAGTATCACTCAGTGTGAATATTGCAAACGGCAAATCTGAAAACGGAACTCTCTAATTTTAATCAGAGCTGCATAAAATTAATTATTCACTGTTATTTAGAAATACTAAACGCATATATGTCGCTTGAGTGCCTCAAGGCAAACTGTTAAGGAGGAATATTGAAGTACGTGAGATGTTCAAATTCTCATCGATACCTTTTAAAATACGCTTAAATCAAGTAGAGAATCCAGATTTATACATATCTTTAAAATGACGAATAACGGGTTCAGAGATTATTCATTAAAAATCATTAAAATAACAAACTACTTTAAGCTACTTCAATTAGCTTTTCTACATCCTTTTCAGAATCATTATTTTGCAACTTAAGCTCCGATATTACTCGAAAATTCGTGCATACGCTTACAAATTGAGCCATGAATACAGATATAAATTAATTTGTTACACATTAATTCAAAAAGTAATGATAAAAAGAATAAAAAAATACATTTCTCAAGAGGATAAAAAGGAGATAATAATTTTATCATCATACTATAAGCAAAAAACTTTGGACGCAAAAATTTCGAAACACGCGTAGAGAGTTTCCAATGGTAATAGTAGTTTGTTGCAAAAGTGATGTAACTTACGTTTTCGTCTTTGGCGTGACAAAAATATAATTATTACCTCCGTTTTAAATCAGGTTGCATCACTTTTATATTAAATACCTTTACCTCTTTAGGAATTGACGCGTCTTACGTTTTTTGTTCACGGTGAGACAAAAATGGAATATTTTATCCTTTTTAGTCAACTTAAAAAATTCAGTTTTTTTATAAAAAAAATTATTTTATTATTTTCCTTCCTTTAGTTATGTATCTGTCGGTTTGTATAGATAAAGAGACAAAAAAAAACTTTTTAGCATTACTATCACGTTAAATCCTGCTTGTGATTTGAAAACGATTAAATTTTGTATTGTTTTTTATAATAGAACTCCTATAGAGATTTAAGTGTTCTAGCCAATCAGAAAGTGATTAAAATTTAGAATGCAAGAATTTGTCGCATCAAATACGAAAGAAAGTTAATCAAAACACAGTAAATACTAATCAAATACTTTTAGAAATTTTTCTTTTGCACGTATACATCATTTTCAAATTAGCTTTTAACTGAAGTTCAGATATTATTTTAATGATAAATCATGCATATGTTATTGCGCAAATTTAAAATATTTTTCAAAGCATTTTAATCTATTTCATTTGGTGCATGCCTGTACAATGCCCTCTTCAATGGGTCAGAAAAGTCCTTTAGGAGTACAATTACATGTGTACAGAACTTAAATAAAAAAAGGAAGAGCTTGAATAACCTTTGATCTAAAATTCAGATCTTCATATATAAGGGATTTATATAAATTGTTCGATAGTCTAACCTTAACTATAGGCTAATTAGTTAAAACAGACGATATTTTGAGTTGCAAAATCAGGCGTAAGAATGTATATTCTCTAAAATATGCATATTTTTCGATGGATTTGAGTTCCTGATCTGTCGCATGTACAAAATATAGTCTTAATAAGCAAGTGTGCTGTCCAAAGTTAGGGCCCTTTAACGTTAATTTCTCTTTTCGCTCATTTTACCTTCTCAAATTAGTCGAATATTTGAAATTTTATTTCTGGGGAACTATTCGAACAATTTCGTTAAAATTTTGTGTTTTGTCATTTAAAATTACGAACTTTTATAATGACATAAGTTTTACTTTATAATACGAAATAATTTTGACTATTATCAAATCAAATAACAAAAAAATGTATAAAATAATAAATAACTATAAAAATTATTTTTTTACTTGAAAGTATCTTCAGATGGACGAATTTAAAAATTTCATGTAAACATTTTTTGATTCGCTTAAAAAGTTCTCGGGACACAGTGAAATACACGCAAAAAGTGACAATATCATTAAGAGGCCCTAAATTTCGATCGCTCACCTGCTGCAGGAAGCTAATGATAACCTATTTTTCAGATTGAGGGCTAAAATTCATATTTTGCGGGTCACAAATCCAAATCTTTTGAAAAGAAATTCGATTTTGTTCAGAAAAAGTGCGTTTTTGTATCTGATTTTGTAACTTTTAACATCATGCACACTAACTAGTTATCCTATTTAAAGTTCGCCCCTGTAATCATTAAGATAAAGTCTTAATAAATGAAAAATCCAATCATTCGACAAAAAGTTAATCAATTGTTTCTTTTTATTTGGCGCATTGTACGCTGCATGTACCGTACATCAAGATCATGTTGTTTTATAATTATTTATTTTTTAAATTGACAGTTACATTTATTGAATTCTCGAGAGCAACAGTCCTCTGCTCTACAACAATAAGTTGCTTTTCCATAGCTATTGAACTCTCCTTCACTAAAAAGTTTCAATTATTCGAACATCCTATTCTGCTTGAAAAATATAAATGTCATCATAAGATTAAGTTCTAATGCATGAAAATCCAATCATTAGATATAAAGTCATTCAATTTATAAACTTTTTTTAATTTGGCGCATTATACGCTGCATGTATCGTACATCAAGATCATGTTGTTTTATAATTATTTATTTTTTAATTGATCGTTACATTTATTGATTTCTCGAGAGCAATAATCTCTTTCCCTACAACAATAAGTTGCTTTTCCATAGCTATTGAACTCTTCGTCACTAAAAAGTTTAAATTATTCGAACATCCCATTCTGCTTGAAAAATTCAAACGTCATAAACAGTTTACGAACTGAAGCACAAGTTGATCGTTAGGAATTTTAAATTATTACCCGTTCGTTTTCGAAGGACTTAATAAGTATACTTCATTACACTTGTCTCAATGTATTCTTCAGCTGTGAATAAACCGAATTTTCTCGCCGTTTATTCGTTGTTTGCCGTACTCAGTCGAGAGGATAATAACGTGAAAAGGAACTTTGCATAGTTAGAAATGTTTAGTTTGTAAATCACAGTCAAAAATGTAAAAATAAAGAGATAGATTGCTAATTGGAATACAGCGATTTACGAAATGGCTATAATAAATTTTAAAAAAAGCCTGCAACATTATATAAGCAATACTAGAACCACAAACTATTAGTTTTGGGTATTAAGAACGAATAATTGTAAAGAAATTACAGTAAAAAGTACCGCTCCTTTTTACAGTAAAATCAATTTTTGCCGTAAAATTTTACGAAACAAAGAAACTTACATACTGTAATTTTTGATAAATTTGTATAAAATCATTGAATCACTGCAATTAAATAAATATTACTGTAAAAAGTATGTTTTAAAATTTCACGGTGAAAATGAATTTCACAGTAAAATGCATTTTACGGATGATCAAAGCTTTGCCAAATAGCTATAGCTTGCTTGCTATAGCCAAAGCTTTAGGTATATTGATACAATATCAGAAGCACTCTTTTTTGCGGATATAATCGTGTGGGCTGATGAAAAGATTATATCTCTAATTTTCCGGCTCTTTAAAAAAAAATTTAATCGTTTTTTTTTAGTTGTTTGTTTGTTTTTTTTCATTAATATTCCCCCCGTTTTTATATATTTATAATTTTTCTTTGCTTTATCTTCATTTTGAACTTATCTAATGAGTTCTGTTTACTTGCAGCTTATGACCAATAAATGAAACATTGTTTTTCTTAACTTTCTTCGTGTTTTCCTGTATTTATTTATTTTGTTATATATATATATATATATATGTGTGTGTGTAAATATATATAATGTATATATATATAAAAATCTAAACCTTACTGTTTTATGAAATTTATAAAAAATAGAAACATTGTTTTTTAACGCAAAATTAACTTTTCAGAATTTTAATCTCTTTTAATTAATTAAACTTATTTTCGTATAGTTATTAAATAATTAAAGTGAAGAAAAGATTGAACGGTCATACACACTTTTTAAACTGAGCGTCCTAAGCCCTGTTAATATTTATATTAATTTAGTTGTCAGAGTAAGCTTTAAAAATAAAAGTAAAAAACGCGCAAAAAAACTTAAAATAGCAACCAAAAAAAAAGTGGACAGAAAGAAAGAATTCAAGAGTATCACAAACTTCAATTCACCTACTTTACTTTAGCTACTTTTCATGAACTTTAATTTTTTTTAATTACAAAGTAAAGGAATTTTAATTCACAAGAAAGTATTTTCAAACATTTATTAGAAAACATTTTTGAAATATTTTCTCAGCTTGAAGTTTTCTTATACCTTTTGTTTTTATTTCAGACTGATCCGAGTTACAATTGCAAAATATTACTCAAAACCTTTGTTTTACTTTCTGCCTTATTTGCTGGGTATTCTAGCTGGAAGGATAACAATACGCTTTAAAGATCAGCAGCTTTCAAAAGTAAGAAAAAATATTTAATAAATTACTGCTCCCTCCAACGAAGTGTTCTATCTTCTGAAGAATTTCTCATAAATTTATGTTAGAGGAGTTCAAAAGGGAAATGAAATTTAGATGTGCTTTATTCTAAATAGTTTGAAATTTTATAAATAACCAATAAACGTCTCTAACATTGGATTAAATAATATATATTATTAAATAAATGCTAATAATTTCTATAAAGATCGTTGAACTAAAGTGTTGTATTTAAAATTTGACTTTTTTTGAATTATGAAGTAAAATATATCATTATCTCACGCAAATCCAGTTTTTGGGTCAATCCAAGGAAACGGACAAGTTTGATGTGGTTCTTAGCTTCAGTGTAAACTCGCCTAAAAAAATAGCTATCCCACTACCATCAATTATGCTTTAATTTCTAATCTAATCTTAAGTATTTTTTTAATTTGGCAAATTACCTCTGGAAATATTTTCAAATTATTTTTGCTAGTTATTCATATTTGCATGACATATTTGTCTCCTCTCCTTTTGTATGTTCTTTTTTGTGTCTTATTTTGAATTTTCATTGAATTGAGATATTTTTACTTGATAAAAAGTTATGTTAATGAATTGGTTTAGTTTTTTTGGTTCTCCTCACTCTATTGTATTGATATATCTTGCTTTGGCTATATTAATACAATATCAGAAAGCACTATTTAGGGAATATAATCGTGTGAGATGATGACGATATTATATCTGCTCTGTAGCTATTTTTCCTGATTTTTAATTATTTAATATTTTTTATAGTTCCTAATAAATTTTTCAAACTTTTAATGACTTTCATTCCTCTTTCATAAGGAATCCCTCTTTCTTTTTTCACTTTTATGTTTTTTTCTTGATTTGTTTTTATTCGCTTAGTATATATTCAGAATATTCAATAATGACTGTCCTTAACTTAAATTTAAAAAAAAAAAATTAACGAAATAAGGGTCTCAATAAAGCCAGAAATCAATTAAATACACTCTCAAAATTACTAAATCTGAAGAATAAAAAGCTACGCAGCGTGTTTAATTGCCGAAAAGAGGAATAGGATTTGAAGGAAACGATACTGCTTTTGATGTTTTCATCATACCTTTTTCACTAGTATTTGACAGATTTCCATATAACGTTCTTTTCTTTGCCTAAATATTGCCTCAAATGGTTGCAATTTTCGTTTAAGTTTCGAAAAGTATATATTAAAGGCATTCAGTATGGAGCACCATTTACACATAGTGGAGTATTCTGAAAAGGGGGCCAACTGATTTGGTCTTAGCTCATATTTAAGATCAATGAAAAGTAAATTATTTCCTCCTACATTCAATCTTGGAAGACGACTTCGGTTAAAAAAAACAAAAGACAATTTGTGTTGCAGGTTATAAATTTAGTTCCTCCATTATTTGGATATAACTCAAAAATTTGCCTACAGATGGCAATGGAGATAGAAAAATCTGGATAACGAAGAAAAATACATGAAAAAAACACCAAAATGTTTTGAAATATTTTATAAATTAGAATTAAATTAGAATTAAACTACAATGTTATTGAAATGCTTTAACGTAATTGGAGAATAAAATAAGTTACGCAGCTGAAGAATATTTCAACTGACTTTCAGTGTCCTCTATCGGAAACATTTTTAAATTAAAATAAAAAAAATTTCTGTGAATAAAATTTACGGCATACCATATAACTTTAATGCTAGAATGATTTTTCAGAAACTTAAAACTCACGTAATTAGCAAATTGTGCATAGATTTAAAGTGATTTCATGCTTACCAAAATAAATTACCAAATTACCAAAGATTTTTCTTTCAAATCAGTTTTAACCCTTCTCCTACGCCCACATAAATATCACAAAATCCTGATTTGAAAATATTTATTTTAAAAATAATCATATTCAACCTAATTGAAAAAATTAATTCATTTCTATAATTATGTTCTGTCGTTTGATTTATTTTTTTACCTTGAAATTCAACTAATGCTTTTTCAGTAAATAAATGATTTCGCAAGAAATTATAAGACATAGATAAATGCGTCTGATAAAAATGCATTAATCCCAATGCATTGCTTATCTGAAAAACTAATATAATACGACGACCAACACTTATGTAATGAAAATATTAAGATATTATTTTAATCATCCAACAAGCTCGACTAATTATTCTAATATTAGATAGTTATTACTCGCAAATTATAACGTTATATTTCTGTTACGAAAATTTTCCTGTGGTGAATATTTTAATGTTTATTTAAGCAATTGCTCATCCAGGGAAGTTAATGAAATAACTTAACTAGAAGCATCCTCTTGGGAAGCAGCTGGTTAAGCTATCAATTTTGATTTGAAAGAATTCTTTCTTTTTTTTTTAAAGTTTTATATCATCATTATGAGGATCTCTTTTATTTGTTTTTCAAGAAAATAGAAATAACTGAAATTTGGTTTAAAATTAATCTGGGAATAAAATTCTGAAACTTCACATTATTTTTCCTACTAAGAAAAAATTATAGGGTAACTTATTGCATTAAAAAGTAGCAGGAGTATATTATTTCATAAAAAATATATTAATTTTGTCGAGAAAATATGGTTAATAAAGCTAAATTTTGTGTCTGTTTTTTTCTTTTAAAGCTGTTTTCTCACAAGAATGTTTTTGTTAAGCTATAAATTTTATTAGTAAAACCCTTATTAGTAAAATAATTTTATTAGTTTAATAATTTTTATTAGTAAAACCCTTATAAAAAAGAATCTTTTAAAATGATATTTGTTTGTATTTAAATATTTATATTGATTTTCAAATTCAGAAAATCTGTCAACTTATTGCTTAACAAAATTTTATGAGACAAAATCGTAGGAGGAAATAATTTCGTATACAAATAATTAAGTAACGTTTTCTACTATATATGTAACCAAAATTAAAATTAAATTTTGCTCCTATTTTTTACAAAAGTTTTGTATACCCATTTCGTAACAAAAAATATTTAAAAAAAAACTGAGTGAATATAATTCGAAGCAAACCTACAATTTATGCATAACAAACACATTACATATCTGCATACATAGTATTAAAAATGTATAAACTATGTATGCAAAGCGATTTTGATTCTAACCTTCCGATTTTGGAAAATTAATTTAGGTGTGCATGCGCAGCTACTTCAAAACGTAACGTGCTTGAGCGAGCGGAATGATACGTTAAAACTGCGAAATCTCTCTAATAATATGTCTCATTAAATGCGAGACTTTCTTTAATTGTTTTGTTTCCTCAAATAAACGAAGCTTTCAACACAATATGAACCAATGTAGTTAAATGCGTTTTAAAAATGGCATATATGACACTATCAATGTACTGATATGGGGTGACTAAGTATTTAAAAAATCAATGAACTTACAATCTATTAAAGAAACGTACGGTTTGCGTAATGCTTAGGAAACCAGTTAGTTTAATCTCACTAAGTTTCATTATTAGTAACAAGTATTTTCAACAGATGGCGAATCTAACAAAGGAAAACTAAAAGCTGTCATTACCGGAAATTGTGTGGTGCAATCTGAAGACACAGAGGGCAATTTTTTCCCGATAAATGGTCTGACATGCAGCATAATACAATATTTAATAGGTCTTATACTCAGAAGTGCCATCTGTTGATGAACTTTGTAATTTTAATCAGAATAAATCTAGTTATAAATTCTCAGTAAAGCGCAGTATTTCTGTCACCTTCATTTTGCTCTTCTTTCTTTTTCGGAATTCGTTAATATTATAACGACATTAAAATAAATGAAAGAAAAATCTTAACAAGATATTTTTTAAGGTGCTTCATGTGGTTGGATGGATTCTAAGCATAGTTATATGTGTGAATGTCTTGAGTGATGGAAATTTCTCCAAGCTAAGTATAGAGCAATCACCATTCGATCTTGCAAAAAGAACATTTTTATTGTGCATCGCTTTCTTTTGGATAATGTACGCAAGCGTTGCAGAGGGTAAGAATTTTCTCACTTTTTAAAATTATGAAAAATAGAAACTTACTCAGGTAGTATTTATGATGCTTTTAGTGAAAAAATTATGTTCGGGTTTAATTTAGATTTTAGCTAATTTTATCAGGTTTATTTTTTTTTCTAATCAAAGATTAAGACATATGTATTTCGATTCAGTTTAATTAAAATATTTTTTACGATGCTAAATTTTTAAGAAATATAAATATCTTTGCGTAATATAAACAGAAAATTGTCTAAAATCTTGTCTCATCGTTGTCACATACTATAGTTTTTCGACTGTCTAAGAAGATTCAGATTTCGTTCGTTGTCATTTGTCATCAGGGTAAAATTCATAATTTTTCACCTATAAAATATTTCTTTGTCCTTTGTTAAGTGCTATTTATCTATAATATTTATTTACCATCGTCCCTGCTCATGTTACATTTCTTTTTATTTTGAGTATTACTCAAAACTAGGACGTTAACTTAGTTTTCTTCTCAATTTTAAACAAATGTGGGTTGGCTCCATCAAACAGGCCTACTCGAAGGCTTGCTTGTCTCAATGCTTAACCCANTGCAAATGCACAAAATTCTAAGAATTCAAAACAATCATTTAAATCCATATAAAAACTTTATTTAAAAAAAAAAATACATCTTTTTAGTAAATACTAAGTCATTAAAATAAATTTGAATTCAAATAAATAACATGTAATTCGTTAAACCTATTAGAAATGTGCGTTAAACCTATTAGAATCGTTAAACCTATTAGAAATAGTATAATTCGTGATATAAATCAAAAATCGTCAAATGAATTCGTAATATATAAATTCGTGAAAAAAAAGCGCTTTCGACAAAATACTAAAATAGAGATCTATCGACAAAGACTACTCACTTCTGCCTAGCTTAATAGTATGAGATTGCCGCAGCTGATGCTCTCTGGTTATTTCAGTTTCCGTTCTTAAAAGCGCTATATGTTGAGTCACCTCAGCTAGATTTGGCATGAGACATTTTTAGCGGCAATCATTGGTCGATTCGCCATGTAAGAGATATAGTAACGTAAGCAAAACAGAGCAAACGTTGCCACAGGCGGAAAAGAAATACAGCCAAAATTTGGGAGCCACGTAAGAGAATTAAATATATTAGATTAAAGACAAAAAGCGGTGCTTCTTTTTCATGCAACATTTCACAGCTTGATTGAAGTAGGATGAAAGGTTAAGGGTCGTTTTTTGCCATACTCATTAAATAGTTTTATTTCCTTTTCTTTTCACATTAATATACATCAGTATTTAAAATAATTACCCACCCTACATCTAATGAGTTAATGAATTAATGCTATTTTTTATCACTCATTCATTTTCGACAAATTCTGTACAGGAAGCAGTAGGTATAAAATTATTGCACCCTTTTTAAAACTAACAGATATTTTTAAGCACATTTTTTAAAAATTATACTGACAATTGAAGCCACGTTGGCTCAAGGTATGTAGAGCGCTTGCCACCAAATGTGGTGACTCATGTTCGAACTCTTATGGTACTAGTCGATACGAATTCTGTTCCCGACTCGAATCGTCCACAGCTTTAATGTAAAATACCCTCAGTGGTAGACGGATCATGAAACTCCATGTCCTTGGACTGACCACAGGACGTTAACTTGGTTTTCTTCTCAATTTTAAACAAATGTGGGTTGGCTCCATCAAACAGGCCTACTCGAAGGCTTGCTTGTCTCAATGCTTAACCCAGGAGTTCCAGGATCCTCCTTGTCTTCTGGGTTGGTTTTATAAATTACGAGGATACGCAGTTGAACAAAAAAGACCAAAATTGTGTCGGCTATTCATTGCCCGTTATAAACTAAAACTTATTTGCAATTGAAAGAAAAATGTAAGTCTGAATTCGGACAGACTATTATATAAAATTCTAAAAATAAAAATTATGGTAGGTAGTGATTTTCTTTTTGTACAAGATCTTACTATTCTAATTCGAAAAATTTTAGATAGATAATTTTGCAAGTTCTATTATTTCTTCCTCTGCGTATGCTAGTTTCGTCACCAGGTAACGACATGTGATTAGGGTTGATGATGGACATTTTGAAAATATTGTAACTTGATTTTCAATTATTAAAAAATTTCGAAATATTATGGTGTGATTGTGCATTATTTTTCTTTAATTTATAATTTAACTACCTTCAGCGCCATCTGTCAGAATTTTTTAAAGAGTGACGAAATCTGAGCGAAAAAATTTTACCTACGTCACCTAAATTTCGCTTTATTTTAACCTCAACCATTTTCCAATTATTAATTTTTCACAAGTGTCAGACTATTTTTATAAGATTGTTTTTTTAAAGCTTTGGTTGGTTGAAAAATAAAAACAGATAATTAAATTGTAAGTTATTCAGGGTGTTAAAATTACCTGTGTTTATCTTAACATCAGGGTAGTCGAAAACACTAAAATAACGAATTTTTCCAGACTTATTTCATTTCATTTCTCAGAGTTTTTGTACCTGACTTTTAGCTTTTCAGCTCTATCTTATTCATTTAAGTAAAATACCTCATCAAGCATTTTCACTGTAGATAAGCAATCAAGAAAAGTTATTTGAGAAAAAATATTATATTAAGTTTAAAAAAATTATATATTGAGTGAAAAAATTCAGGTTGATGAGTAGTAAAGAGAAATAGATGGCATACGCATTTTATTTTATTTTATTTTACGCTCCTTTTAATTCCCTCAGGTCAAACTTAACTGCAAGAGTAATTTATAGTAACCGTTAGAATAATTTGTTGTTAGAATGTTTAGAACGAAACACTAATTTCTTTCTATTAAAAACAAAAAGTTTTTATTCCAAGTTATAAAATTACTATATGCTCGAATAAATAATAAATTTGTACTTTTTTTTAAAAAAATTGATAACATTTTTAACACTTAAAATTTTTTAAACGTTAAGAATATAATTTTATTTATAGAGCAGAAAATTTTGAATTGGACAACTATTTATTGACATATCTGCCTTTGATGTCACATTACTATTTGAAATAAATCAAAATCTAACATCAGAAAACTTTTTTTAGATTCTGTACCAATTCGATTGAAATTAAAAAAAATATTGGATATTTCAATACCTCGAAGTCAAATAAGTCCCGTGATTTTTAATGCATATTAATTACATCTCCTCACGTTCTTCTAATTGTTTTCCTTCAAATTGATAAAATTCCCCAGCTTTAACTTATTCTCACATATTTTTCTGGCTTATAGTCACCCTAATGTATGTACATTAAACTGAAAATTGACCTGATATAGACTATGTATGTTTGACAAAACAATATCTTTATTACGTACTTCATTCCAACAGCTAAAGAAAAGCGGGTTCAATAATGTAACTAACAGTTACATTATTGATTCTACTTTGCATTTTAAAAGAACGCCATCTAGTGCTAGAACAAATCATACACAAACAGTTTGGAAGTCACTGAACGCCTTGAGCTCATTTTTTATGGAAATATTCATTATTGATAAAATATTACGTCTGATTCTTTGAACAGGTGTTGTAGGACGGATCTTTAATAATGTAACTAACTGTTACATTACTAAGTCTACTTTGCATTTTATAAGAGCGCCATCTAGTACAATAAAAAATCATTACATAAACACTTTGGAAGACACAGACGCCCTGCGCACAATTTTTATGGAAATATTCATTGCTGATAAAATTTTTATGTATGATTCTTTGAACAGGTGTTGTAGGACGAATCTTGTCATCAGGTGCACTATCTCCCTTCACCAAAGTATGCTACAATGCTTACATGATACACATTCTCCTCATAATAATCAGGGAAGCTGCTTTGAAAGAAAGAATTTACATAGGAAAACTCGTTTTGGTAAGTCAGACAAAATAAAATTTTATTTAATTTGTTTATTCAAATGAGTATTTTTGATTAGCCATTAAAATTTTAGTGAAATTTTTCCATTATCGGCTTTTGGTGATATCTATTTATAAGAATGCAAAGTCTATCGATCGCACTACAGTTAGACTACAGAAAGAACTCCCTTTGACACAAAGTCTAAAACCGATGGTTGCTTTGAAAATAAGAAATTGCGCATTTCAAAAAGGAGAAATTTAATCTACCTTGATTCCCTTTTTATTCTAAACCCGAGCCAAACCTCGACTTAAATATTGACCCCGCACACCTACTTAAAATAGTTACACCTCGTAACCATAGTCACCGCCACTGATTCAGACGAATGGCGAAGGGAGTTCTTTACATAGGCAGTCTATAAGTATTTTCAAAAGGCCATAAAGAGAGCAGCAGTACGGCTTTCAGTGATAGGCACCAAAGATGACCACCGACAAAAATATGGGACTGAAATATTTGGGCTAGGGCTTACACCGACGCACCAAAGAACGTTAAGTAACCGGCCCTACTGTGACGCCATCGATGCCTGGAAATTTTACTAGTAACAATTTATGGAAGCAGAAAGAACCTATTCAAGGATTTTCAACATGTTGCACCGATCTGATCAATATAATATATTTCTTAAATCAGCTCAAGGGCTTTACTTTTCGGACAAATCATGTAATTGAAACTTTTTACAAAAGTTTGTTGTTTCAGTAAAAAATCACGCATATTTTTGATTTTAAAAAATGAAAATTTCTTCAGTTTAAAGAGAAACAATGTTAGCTCGGTTTTTAAATGCTTCTCTTTAATCATTTGATGAAAGTGCTTAAATAGATTTATAAATTATTTTAAACAAAAAATTGAATAATCTCGATTTTTTCCTTGACTATATCTTATAATTGCACCACTCGTTTTATTTTTAAATCTTATTTTTTATATTCACATGAACAAAGGCATGAAAGGGCATGCTCAGTTTTCCTTAGAATAAAATACAGACAAAGGTACGAAAACGAACATTCTGTAAGTTTTAAGTTTTATAAACAAAAACCTTCTTCTGCGCTTAAACACGTCATGGATTCTCTTAAATCTGTGGCAAAACTATTAATTGTAAAATAATGATGACAAAAAATTGAAAAATAGAAAAATTAAATAAACTAATATTTTTGAAATTCATTTTTTTACCTTTCATGTTATTTTGAATTCAACGCATGCATCAGAATGACAATTAGTAAAATAAAATGAAAAAAACAAATGTATGATAACAAAACTGTAACTAAAACGCAACACTAGATATCATTCATTGTTCTGGTGGCATGAAATTCAAATTTTCATAATAGTGCAAAGAAGCGGAAATTTACAGATGAGTATCGAAACAGCCATTCAAACATTTGAAGAATTTCGTGGTAAATTGTGATGACGTTTGTATATTTTACATCCAATTAATTTAGAAAATTCGGGTCAAAAAAAAAGTTTCAGAAATTAATATGCAACAGAATCTAGCTTACTTAGTTTGTTTTTGCTTCACTAAGTTAGAAAGATGATTCCCATTTATGGTAAAACTGTTATAATGGTGAAAAAAAAGCAGCTTTATTGAGATTTTCTATTTAAATACTAAATTAGAAATATTTATTATATATAATATATTCCATATCTATTATTATTATAATTAAATAGTTATTATCTATAATTATGTAATTAGTATCTATAATTATATAAAATTATCTATAATTATATAATTATTATCTATAATTATATAATTATTATCTATAATTATATAATTATTACCTATAATTATACATCTAGAAATATAAAAATATATATCTATTTAAATACTGAAGTAGAATTGATGTAAGTTGACGAAAGCCAATGGTTTTACAGTAATTTAGTGCTATGAAATTTTTATTTCAAGTGAAAAAGCTGTAATTTAGCGAAAAAGGCGGATTTCATTGTGATTGAGTCTCACTTTATTTCTGTTGTTGTTATGTATAACACTTGGACAAGCTAAGCTCAGCAGTTGTCGACCAGTTGCGAATTAACTCACGAAGGTGAGCCTTTTGTTCGACAAGGAAGCATCGCAAGGGTAAAAGTAAGTCTTAGCTCAAAAGCCCACAAATAGATAGCGGCAATACTTATTCGTTAAGCCGCCTGAAGCGATTGACCAGAGCACTTCCAAGATTCCACAGATATTCCAAGCACATATATCGTATGTACTCGGTGGTCTTAACGAAGTCGAAGGTTGAACTCCAGCCGCTGTGGACAGGAAGCTGTAGTTTGGATGAAAAGAATAATTTCATTATAAACTAGAGCTACATAATTTTCAAATTTACGCATTACAGCTGTAACTTAAGAAAACTCCAGTTGTATTGCTGTTCAGAATTGAACACTAAAATTAAGTTACTTAGCTGTAATAAATAAATTATGTTATCCTTATCTGTGATTTTTTTTTACTCTTTTTTTACAGACTATTGAATCGACTTCTCACACTTTTATCTCATTTATTCTGGGAATGTTCATACACGTGATCGTTGAACTACCAATTGCAAGATTGTGTGAAATATACATGGATCGCAATGAAAAGGAGAAACTAAAAGCTGGAACAGAACATTCAGAAGCGAACATCGAAAATTCTAAAATGGATGAAAAGAAAGATTCATAAGAAGTGAATGAAATGAATGAAATATCGAAAGGAATAGGAATTGTTGATATTTTCATATAAAACTAAAAATCTCTTGAGTTATTATTGCACCTCACGAACCTCAGCTGACGATAGTAGACGCGTAATTGAAATTTCTGAACAAGCTCACATATTATAAATCATTTTTGTTTCGTTTGAAAATTTAAACGAAAAGGGCATGAAAGCGGTTTTAACGAAAATTAACGCGTTGAAATATTATCAACATTATTATGCTTTATTCTAATTTAGGTTTACTTTAATTGCAAAAGACGAATTCTCTCAAGAGAAATATTTGTAGCATAAATAGGATTTTTCAATTTGCATATCAGTGCATGTTAATAAGCTGTATATATATATATATATATATNTATATATATATATATTACTGACAATGCATGGTGATTAATAATAATAATTGTCTTCTTTTTTTCAAAATCTCTGATTTTTCAGAATTTAGTGAAAATAGATTTTGGGTTCAACTAATTATTTCATATTTGTTTCCTTGAAAAAGAGAAGACAATTATAATTATTAATCACCATGCATTGTCAGTAATAGTGATTTACTACCCAGTAAGTATGGCCTATTACCTAATATTTTTTCTTACACTGATATATATATATATATTTTAAGCTTGGAGATATTGACCCGTATTACCTACTCTACACATACAATGTAAGTTTAAGGGTACGACGCATGCTTTATAATCGTTTGGTCTTCTGTGATTATTGTGTTTTCTACTGTGCCTAAAGGACCGAGTTCCAACGTCACCACAGCTCAAAGGGTAGTGAATTTGGGGACAGAAACCTTTTTTGATTAAATTTTATTTACCATTGAAAATAAAGTTTAATCTACTAAATAAAAAAAAAATTTGAAAAAAAAAACTATTTTGTAAAATAGTGAAATCTCTTCATTGTAATTTGAAAAAAATTCACGTAGGAAACAATATGTATGAATAAAAAGACGGTTATTATGTATCGTCAGACATATCTTTAAAAAGTGGGTAGATACTTATTGGTTATGGGGGCCATATACTATTGGCGACTGTTTTTACATATGTTCGCCAACACGAACATTGAGTCCCTATCACCGATAAGTGCTAAATTTCAATAGCAAATAATACCAATACTTAACAGTGCTTTTATATTAGTCTATATTTTCAATACCCAAATAAAATTCTTCACCACGCACAATAATATCGTATTCGATATTCAATTTCAATCGTTATCTGCATTCACGTTAGTACTTTTTTGATATGATATAATAATGATATTATCATTTTCGAAAATTATAATCATCAATTATGATCATTATATTTCCTTATTGGATTTGTATTATTATTAATAATGATCGTGATATTATCATATTCGAAAATAATAATTATCAGTAATGATCATGATATTTTCATATTCGATTTGCATCATTATCAATAATGATGAGGATACTATCGTATTTTATACACCCCTATGCAGTGTCGGTAGCTGGGGGTGATTAGAATCGTTGCTCCTAGACTAGCTTGGATTTATGGTCCTTAATAAGTATGAAAATATTTACCCCGACCAGCCCCAATTCAGGGCATACGGGTAAATGTTTATTAAAACCAAGTAAAAACAGAAAAGAACATAAAAAGCAAAAAGTGCATAAAATACAAGAGTCATATGCCAACAGCTGGGAGGGCCGCCATATAGTTCTTAAAGCCGACGGCCCACCCTTATACTGAGCCAAATTACAATAGTATTGAAGACCCCAACAAAGTTACAGAGAATACAGTATGTGTTACAATACATAATTAGTAGTTACAAGATCTAAACATCTAAAATAAAACAAGACAATTAAAAATATGAATACAATAAAAAAATAAAAAACTTTCTTCTTTTTTCCTTTCCCGTCTATTTTTGTTGATAAAAACGCTAAAAGCGAATATGCAAGTGAGTGAAAACATCAAGATGAATTAAAATTAGTGTTGAGGTGATAGAACAGAAGACCAACGGAGTCCCCCAGGATGCTCAAGTTTGAAAAATATAAAAGGGGAATGACGGGTTAAAATAGAAGTGGATTGGCAGTTCAGGTATTGAGGGGAGACATCAAGTCAACCAAAGTGTATAGGGTCCATCGGATTGTCCATTGTAATGTTATATTGATAAAAGCATTATCTTCTAGTGTGCTTTTAATAATTTCTCTAATAATTTGTTGCTGTTGTTTTGTTCTGCACCACTTTTCGATTGGTTTCCTGATGTTAATATGATTCCCCCGGAGTGTCGAGAATTTAGGACATTCTGCAATTAGATGTTGAACCGTTTGGCTTTTGCCGCAGTATTTGCAGCTAGATGATTTCTGAAAAAATCTCGTGGGCGGTATATTGGTTTATGTAAAAGTCACAATTTAAAAGTTTATCGCTGACTTTTGGAAAAAACTTGTTGGTATATCTCCCATTTGATGAACTGTCCCACCTTTCTTGCCATAAATCTCTGCTGACCTGCCGTAGTTTATAATTAAGCTGTGGTCTTGTCCTTAATAAGTATGAAAAAAAAACAAGTACCATAATAAATACCAAATTTAAGTACAAAAAAACACTCAGGTGACCAAAAGTTACCATTAATTGATACCGCACATAAAAAAAAAAGATTAACAAGAAGGGCTGAAAAGAAATGCATTTACTAACTTTATCATATGGTAACGTTTTAATATAATTATACAATGCTAGCTTTAAAAATACTTAGAAGAAAAATAATCTTTAAAAATTCATCAGCTGTCTTATAAACAAGAAATTTCCTCATAGTGTTGAAACGTGTTCAGACTATACTTTGAGATATATTNTCGTTATCTGTATTCACGTTAGTACTTTTTTGATATGATATAATAATGATATTATGATATTCGAAAATTATAATTATCAATTATGATCGTTATCTTTTCATACTGGATTTGTATTATTATTAATAATGATCGTGATATCATCATATTCGAAAATTATATTTATCAGTTATGATTATGATATTTTCATATTCGTTTTGTATTATTATCAATAATGATGAGGATACTATCGTATTTTATACACCCCTATGCAGTGTCGGTAGAATCGTTGCTCCTCCATGTTGGTAAGCTTGGATTTATGGTACTTAATAAGTATGAAAAAAAACAAGTACCAAAATAAATACCAAATTTAAGTACAAAAAAACACTCAGGTGACCAAAAGTTATTATTAATGGATACCTCACAATTTCATAAAAAATAATAAACAAGAAGGGCTGAAAAGAAATGCATTTACTAACTTTATCATATGGTATCGTTCTAATATTATGATACAAGTCTAGCTTTAAAAATACTTAGAAGAAAAATAATCTTTAAAAATTCATCAGCTGTCTTATAAACAAGAAATTTCCGCAGAGTGTTGAAACGTGTTCAGACTATACTGAGAGATATATTTTATTTGTAAACATTAGCATTCACACAGTGTTTAACAATTAAAAAAAAAAAAAGAAATCTCTGCACTTAATTTTAAAGCACAACAAAAGCTGGCAGTAAAACAAAAGTTTTCGAGTTCTATTCTTCAAAATAATCCCAACTAATCTACAAGCTAACATACCCCTCTGAGTAAAAGGTATTATACGAAACAAGATATTTTCGGATTTTCTGGAATTTTCTGATTAAAATATTCTTGAACAAAGAATGTGATCGCGAATACAAGATCAAATATTTTGTACCAAATTCTACATACACAGTTAAAAAAGAAAAAAAGAGGAAAACTATTTTTTCTTTGTTCAAATATTTTTAAGAGGCATTTCTGTCACGAATTACCAATTAATTATTTTAACGCCGTGATACTTTCAGGGAATTTTGTAAGCATCACATTTATTTATTTCAAAAACTGTTCTGAATGCAGCGGAGTTTTATTACATAGTTAAATTTGTTAAATTATTTTTTAATGGAAGATAAATATTGTCCTTTGTTTTGATACGTACTGTTCTATTCGTAAAAAAATGCATCATTAGTAAAATATTTACACACCTGTCTACGTTTTATAAAAATGTAGTTATTTCTTAATTGCCGATGTTAAAATTAATTTAAATGTTTACGAAGAGGAACATTAGCTTTTTTTCCACCATGAGAAAACGTAAATTTTTTAATAGTAAATATATTCTCAAAAATCTCAATAGATGTCCAAGTCAGAGGCTGGACTAGATCAGGGTTAAGCTATCATTCAATAAATTTCCGTTAACACGATTCTTATAAGACGATTCTTATTTTAATCTCAATCGAAACGTATTCCTATTGGTTGCATCTGCAATTGATTGATGATGGATGGATATTTAGTGAACGGGTAAGTGAAGTGACGTCAGTTAAGCTATAGCTATTAATAAAAAAATAAATTATGACGTTGATAATTTTAATTTCAAATATTTAGGTATTTATTTTTAATATTTTAATTATTTTATTACTTGTTTATTGTTGCTTAATTTATTATCATTATTTATAAGAAAGCAAGCAAAATTGGGGCTCTGCAACGTCTTTTTCAAGAGTTAGCAATATTGATACACGTTAGCGCTGGGAGCTTGGCATCCATTTGGCGTGCACTTAGATGCAAACATTGTTCTCTTCATAGGGATAATGGTTTTTTCTTAATAGAGTATAAAATTTTCTCTCCACTTTCAAAATATTGTTCATGTCCACATAAAAAAATAAATTATGACGTTGCTAATTTTAATTTCAAGTATTTAGGTATTTATTTTTAATATTTTAATTATTTTATTACTTGTTAATTGTATATTGTTGCTTAATTTGTTATCATTATTGATAAGAAAGCAGGCAAAATTGAGACTCTTCAACGTCTTTTCAAGAGTTAGCGATATTGATATACGTTTGCGCTGTGAGCTTGGCATCCATTTGGCGTGCACTTAGATGCAAACAAGTTCTCTTCATAGGAATAATGGTTTTTTCTTAACTTGCAACAGAGTATAAAATTTTCTCTCTATTTTCAAAATATTGTTCATGTCCACTTAAGGATGTCGTGGAATGAAATTCTACTTTTCCTATCCCCATGTGGTACTTATCGGTTATAGG